GAAGAAAGGGGGTTCCTTCTAGCAGGTGGGCAGAGCCTTACAAGCAGTGATGACGATGTTCAGGTGTGCACAAAGTACTGCACATGTGTGGGAGCTGTTAGCTATGCAGCTATTATTCTTACAGCAGCCCTGCGAGATATGTAGCATTTTAACCACTGAACCAACAGGAAGACTCCACGGCTCAGAGAGGCTGAGTAACTTTCTCATGGCCACAGAGGTGGTTAGTGTAAGAGCTGCAGACGAATCCAGGTCTTTGTGGCTCCACAGCCCAGGTCTGTCCCATTGCTCCCTGCTGCCCCTGCATAGAACACCTGACCAGGTACCCAAGGCGGTGACAGCCTCTTCTCCAAATCAACGCCTAAGTCTCTAGGTTCCTTCTGCTAAAGGAGTCTCTGATGCCTGGCTGGCCCAAGTCACTCAATCCTGGTTTCTTTCCCTTCAGACGCCGTTTCCCATGGAACATTATTCTGCTGACCATCTTTGTAAGTCCAGAAGGGTCGAGGGAGGGTGTGGAGACGGTGTGAGGGAGGGCTGGCCCTAGGGAAGGATGGGGACCCCACTGTGGAAGATGTCCCTGGCTCTCTCCCACCTTATCCCGAGCCCTGCCCCTGGTCTCCTTGGGGGCCACCTCTCCACCTGTCACATTTATCCCCGCTCTGGCAGTCCACCCTGACCGTGCCTCTCAGCCCCGCCTTCCTGCTCAAGTGTCTCCCTCTCCTCTCTGTCCTTCCCGCAGACTCTTGCCCTGGGCTTCATGACAGGCACCATTTCCAGGTACGTTCAGGGACAAAGCACTACACTCTTGGGAAGTGTGTATTCTAGGGAGTGGGACATCCCTGGGCTGGAGTCATCTGTATGGGGTCCTTCTGGAAGTGGGGCTCTGAAGTCATCATGGGGGCTCATGCCTCAGGCCTCTCCTCGCTCCTTCCCCACAGTGTGTATGAAACCAAAGCCGTCATCATTGCGATGATCATCACTGCCGTGGTGTCCATCTCAGTCACCGTCTTCTGCTTCCAGACCAAGGTGAGAGCTGCATGGCCTACCTGGCACCCCAACCTGCTTTTGTACAGACCTGGCCCTTTGGTGGGCCCTTGAGGAGCCCTGGGAGGGCCCAGAGCCCTATGCGGGGCATTCCCTTAGACACCCTAATCCCCTTCTCTTCATGGCTACAGCAACAAAACTGCTTCCTGTGTCTGTCCTTGGAATGTCACGGTCACTCCCATGCCCCCATCAGGCAGCGCTGGCCCTCTCTGGTGGGGGGAGGCAGGGCCAGTCTGGCTGGGCTGCTAGCTGTGGCACTCATGTGACAGGTGCCTCCTTCTCCCTTCCTGGCAGGTGGACTTCACCTCATGCACAGGCCTCTTCTGTGTCCTGGGAATTGTGATGATGGTGACTGGGATTGTCACTGCCATTGTGCTGTCCTTCAAATATGTGAGTGTCCTGGGAGAGCTGCAGTCGGTGAACCCCATGCTCAGAGGAGACTGTCTGTGTAATGAGCTGTAGCAGGCCCCACAGGCCTCTGGGTGGGCTCTGGTTTCCAGAACCTCTCAACTAGCTAGCAAAGACGCCAATGCCGAAGCGCCGTCCTTTGGGTCTAGTGTCTCTTTGGAGACAGAGGCCCTGGGAGTCATGGCACCTGAGGCCCTGGACAGCATCATGGAATTCTATGGGGAGGAGGGATGAGCTCTGTCTGACAGCTGAGACCAGGTTCTGCAGGCAGACCCGGAGCGGAACCCAGAGGACCGAGGAGATAGCTTGGATAGAAGGACCTTCAGGATCACTGTATCCAACTGCTGTTTCATTCCAGTTTCATTTCTCCTCCTCTCCAGGGGGGAGCGTGAGGTCCCTGGGATGAGGGCAGTCTCCTGGCAGGGAGGGGAGCACCGACTGGAAGGGGAAGCATAGGAACAGGGGACCGCCTGCCCACTTGACCACGGGCTGGCTTTGCCCTTCTGTGGAGGCACTGGAGGGCTACTGAGCTGGGCTGCTCCCCGGTTCTGATCTTCATCCGGGTGGTCGGGGCTTCCCTCCCAGCCCTCTTCTTTAGTCGGTCCCTCCCTGGCTGGGCCGCAGGAGCCCTCTGTTGAATGCTGACCATGGCTATGGGACAGGAGATAAGGCTCTTCCCCCAGTAGGGCCCGGGGCCACCCCTCCCAGAGCTAGAGCTCCACCACCTCCTTTGTCCAGAAGTGGAGTGGACACTTCTGTACCTTAATGGTCACTAGAGGACAGCCTCTGTTTTCTCTGCCACGTATGTCACCATTCTTAATTTCTTCCAGGATCTGGAAGGCAGAAGTAGGCCTCTCGTAGCTAGCTTTGTGATCTCCCCACTCAGATGCCAGAATTCCAGGGGGAGCTGGTCCTGAGGGCCTGCCTCGGTCTGTGCTTTGCTAAGATTTCTAACGCCCTCCCTGTCCTCTCCCCAGATTTACTGGCTTCACATGGTCTATGCTGCTCTGGGGGCCATTTGCTTCACCTTGGTGAGTAAGGCCCTGCCCCTCTAGGATGGGGGCTGAGGGGCTGGAGGGGAGGAACTGGGTAGATGGAGCATGAATTTTGGCTGCTTGGGGGGAAGAGAGGGGGGGCCACAGCTGCCCTTCCCTCTCCCCACTGTCAGGAGGTTCCACTGATTTTCTGGGCATTCCTGTCATCTCGTTCACACCGCCTGCCTTAGGACACTCAGCAGGCCGTACTGTAGAGACGGTGTGTCTGCCTCTCCTAACTGGAACCGCTGGAGAGTGGAGACCGCGTGCTGTGCTCTTCGTTAACGTGGCCCCTAGGCACACCACAGGGCACGGAGGCTCCCCAGGCGGAGCTGCTGACCAGAATCGGGCTCTAGCCACTGAGCCCCTGGGCCCTCACTTGTGGCGCCCCTGTCCCTGCAGTTCCTGGCTTACGACACGCAGCTGGTCCTGGGGAACCGGAGCCACACCATCAGCCCGGAGGACTACATCACTGGCGCCCTGCAGATCTACACGGACATCATCTACATCTTCACCTTTGTGCTGCAGCTGGTGGGGAATCGCAATTGAGGACCCCCGGTTCCACCCCGCCTTGGGCGTCCCCTTCCCCAGAGGGCTGGGCCCTGGGCCTCAGACCCCTTTCCTCCCTCTCAAGTAATACGCCCAATTTCCTTTCTGTCCTGGCATGGCTGGCCGCTCTGGCTGTGGATGTGTAGGTACCTAGCAGGGCCGGAAAAACTGGGGGCTAAGTCTCGCCCTTGGTGGACTTGGCAGGGACTAGGCTGAAGATGTGCCTTCTCCCTCCACTCACTGTACGGCACAGCTGGGGCTGGAGAGGGAGGGATGAAAAGAGCCTATCCTATAGCTAAAAGAGACTATGAGAGGTAGAAGTGACATCAAGGTGATGAGGTGGCCCCTCCCACCTCTGCCACAGGCTCTGGGCTCTATAGCTGGAGCTGTTTCCTCCCTCAACCCCCAAGAAAGCCAGCGAACTTTGTCCCCAGCTGCCTGGACTCATAGGCCATATCCTGTACTGCTTTGGCAAGTGTCGGCACCTTCCAACTCAGGAAGGTAGAAGAGATCTGTGCCCGGGGGTCCCCTGCTTCAACCCCTCTTTCGACTGCATGTGTATACTGTTTATCTGGGTTAGGGGTCGGGGAGGAAGAGAGTGAGCAGAGTCAAGCACAGGACAGGGACCAGTTGGAGCAGCATGTGGCCTGCGCTTCCTCATGGCTTGTGGTGATGATGGCGACAGCAGGCCCTTTGCAGCCCCTGGTCCCCATCTTTCACAGCCGCCTGGGGCCTCCCTGGTGCTTCTGAGGTCTCTGCTCTGGGGACCTCTTGCTTCCTGTGCTCAGGCTACTCAGAGCAGAAAGTAAGGGGCAAAGATCAGGAGATGGGGTGGTCTGTAGGATCATGAGTGTGGCCAGGAAGCAACCAGGGTGAAGGGGGACTGGGGTGGGGGCAGAGAAAATGCCTTGGGGTCCCCCACCCAGTCTGAAGGATATGCAAGCCTACGGTGGTGGCCATTGAAACTTCTGTGTTCTTTCCTCTGCTAAGCCGGGGAGGGCCCTGAGTGAAAGGACACTTGCCCTCTCAGTCTGCTCCTAACGCGCACTGGGGGAGGGTGGACTTGAGCCAGCTGTTGCTTTCTCTGTGACACCAAGTGCCTGAAGCTGGAATGGGGAAGCGGACAAGGGTCACTCTGTCGGGTCGGGGTGGAACCCAGGTCAGCCTATGGTATATAATTAGGACTTCTCTAGTAAGTACTTGGTCCTAATATATCACACAAAGGACATAACTAGAAAAGTAATAAAGTCTTCTGTTTAGAAATTAAAGCCCTGTTTGGTTCTGGTTTTCTTCACTTTAAGCTGTCAGCTCCAGGAGGATTGGTCTGGCCCTGGCCAAAGCATCCACTTCCTCCCTCTGTGTTCTGGCCTGGTGTCTTTCACCCTTTCCAAGGTAACCTAACACGCTTTGCCCCAGCACTTGCTGGTGATGGAGGCAACAGGCTGGGGAAGGCTCAACCCTACAGTACCCACTCCGAGCAGCAGCACGTGACCTGTTCTGCATCAGGGACCCTTTACAGGAGCACACCAGAGCTCTGAGCTCTCTTCCCACAAGGCTGGATGTGTACAAACTAGTTTGCATATGGCCGGGAAGCTGGCCCACAGGTTCAGGTTTAGAACCCCTGCCTTAGAAATCACTGGTCCAGTCTCTCTTACAAACAAGGAAACTGAGGCCCAGAGAGGATGAATCATTTGGATTCAGCCAAGAGGAATTGTGTTTTTTTCCCTCCAAACCCTCAATGATTCTCTTTATTATTTGTTCGAGACTGAGTGGGACCCCACCCTCCTGGCCGGCACCTCTGAGGGCTCGGTCCCCAGGGCCTGAGCCTAGGCTTCTGTGCTTAAGTCTCTGTGGTTGCCCCAACTATCCAGCCAAGAACACTGAGGGCTTCTGTGAGAGGGAGCACACATGAGTAACCAACCCCACCCTGCCCCTCCCATCCCAAGGGATTCACAAACCCACTCCTGGTGCCTTTCCACTCAGACACTCAACTTTATTTGCCTTTGGCTGGCTTCTCTGGAGGGGACGGGCAGGTGCTGGCAGCAGCCTGGGCTTCACGCGCCCTCTGGTGGACTTCAGAGGCAAGGACCAGAATCATGGCCAAAGCCAAGGGACCCCACAGTCAACACAGTCTAGGAGAGGGCTGCAGTGTTCCTCAGGCCTGCACCCCGGACCCAGCATCAGGAGACGGGGTAGGCTTGGAGGAGGCCCTGAACCTCTGGCTCTCATACTCGCCCGTGTTGGATGCCCGCATGTTCTGCCGAGCCTTCATCTGCTTCAAACGGTCCTTGTCCACTTCCCGCTTGGTGAGGATGAAGAGGAGGATACCACAGGGGAAGCCGATGGCCCTAGGGGTGGGGAGATGTGCACGGGGTTTGGGGAGGGGCCAAGCCTGAGCCAGAGGAGCTGGGGGAATCTCACTCCAACTTCCTCCATCGCGTGAACACTGCAATACCTCTCGTGTCTATTCAGCCTCCGCGCTGGCTGCTGGAGGGCCCCACGCAAATCAGATCCTGCCGCTGCCCTGCTCGGAACCCTGTAACAGCTCTCCAGCACTTCACGGCCGAGGCCAAACTCCTAGGCACAGCCCCAAAAGCCCAGTGTGGTTGGGTCTCTGCCCACCTCGTTGTTCCTTTCCCATATAGCCTGCCGCTCCTCAACATGAGCCCGGGCAATCCTGCCACACTGACTGCATGAGTCTCTAGACAGCCCATTCTCTTTCCCTCTCCAAGTCTTGGAGAAGGTTCCCTCTGCCTAAACTGCCCACACCCCCTCCCAGACTCCCCTTCTTAATCTGAGTAACCACTACTTGGGAGGCACCTTGCTGTGGGCGAAAGGGCATGGAGTCACAAGAGCTGGTGAGAATCCCAGTTCTGAGCCTCAGTTCCCTCTTCTGTGAAATGGAGATGTAATCATTTATCTCAGAAAGACTAAAACATTACACCATAAAGTACTGGCACACCTCAGGTGCTGGAAAAAACTGTTAATGTCCACCTCCTTTCCCTTTAACAGTGATCATTAATACGTATTAAGGTCATAGTCAGATTCAAATAACAATGTACTGAACACCCTCTAGATGCTACGATAAAACTAATATAATCTTGCATGATCTCAATCAATTATCTCAATTAAAGATCTCAAATGGGTCTCACTCCAAGCTCCCAAAAGAGAACGAAGCCAGGGATCCAAGTTACATTAACTCAGCTTACTCCACAGAAAACGCACTTTCTCTCCACTTCCACACACTTTCCCACCTCCCCTGCCCCATCCTCTGAGATTTTAGTCCTTGCACCCAACAACGCTGTCCCCACAACCTTGGATTCAGCTCAGCCCCGAAACTCGCAGCAGTTTCTGGGCCCAGCCCTCCCCTCGTGCCACTCCCCATCGGTGGGCAAAGGGTTAGTTAAAACTTACCATGCCAGTCCCACAGCTTTCATGGGGTTCCTGCCCCTTCTTCTGGGAATGTATTCCAGCTCGGGGGATAGGGACTCAGGCTCCTCCTTGCATTCCGGGGAGCTGTGGCTTTGCAGGGCCCGGGTCCTGTTCTGGGAAGCCTTGTTAGCTGTGGCTCCTGAGAGAATCCCTGTGGAGGGAGGGAAGGAAGCTCAGTAAGAGAGGACGAGAAGCAAGCCCGGGGAGGAGCGGCTGCCATCTGAGGAAGGGAAGTGACCGCAGTTTGGAGTAACAAGAGCCACGGAGAAGCCGAAGGGAAATGGGAAAATCGCCCTCGAGGTGGCACCTTTTGAAGCCACTTCCACGTCACTGCGGGCTCATCACCCGGTGCCAGGGGAGCGAGCTTCGCTGCTCTTCATCTCCTCAGACGACAGGATGTGAAGGACCGCAGTGGGGCTCACATGAGACGTAGGAAGGAAATCCGAGAAAAGGTTTTCAAACTGCAGAATGTTAGCACTGGAAGGGAGCTTAAAGGTAGTCTACTCCATCCTCTCATTTTATAGAAGAGGAGACTGAAGCCCCGAGAGACGAACTGCTTCGCCCAAGGTCAAACTGCTCATTGTCCGGGGCTAGAACCCAAGCCTCCAGAAGCCCGGGGCTCTTTCCTCTGCACTGCGGTGAGTGTGAAACACCTGGAGCGCGGAAGTCTAAAAGGCTTCCTTGGGGCTCCCTCTCGCAGCAAGACCCCAGAGATGTCGTGTAACCCCAAGGCACGGGGATGGACGGGGTGACCTCTAGAGAGCATCTTTCAGCCCCCAGACTCTTTAAGATCCTGCAGAGCAGGGCGGGCAGGAATCGACCGCCCTGACCTCCTGTTATCGCCGGGCAGGATGTGGAAGAAAGGGGATCCTCTGCAGTCCTGCCCTCCCCCGGGTCCCTCTCCTTACCCCGGAGGACGCGGGCATTTCTCGCCCCCCGGCCCTTCAGCGCCGTAGCAGCTACCACCGCCGCCATGTTCAGATCCCACCCCCCCTTCACCGCGCTCCCCGCCGGGAATTGTAGTTTGCGTAAGGGGCCTCCCCCGCTCCTTCCGTCCTGCCTACAGAGCACAAACTACATCTCCCAGAAGCCCGCGGAGCGGACCCAGGGGAACTACTCTTCCCAGGAGACCCCGCAGGCGCGCACGCTCGCTTGTTTCCCTCCTGTTGGAGGCGGAGTCAGGCCTGGCGGAGTTTAGGTTCTCCAGCAACGCCCCGCCCCTTCTCCCAACTTTTCCCTGCGATTGGTGATTCCTCCAGTCAACTCTCTTTGCTATTGGCCAAGCGGCCGTCGCTCTTCCTGCCTACACCCACTTCCTCCCGGGAGGAGGGGCTCGAGTTCCGCGTCGTCGCACAGAGCTGACTCTGGGAGGCGTTTGGGCCCAGAGAAGTGGATCGGCCGCTTGCGCCGCATGGAGTCCGAATCGGAAAGCGGGGCCGCTGCGGACACCCCCCCACTGGAGACCCTAAGCTTCCATGGTGATGAAGAGATTATCGAGGTGGTGGAACTGGATTCTGGTCCGCCGGACCCGGGTGAGAACTGGCGCTCTTCAGGCCACGGGACAGGAGGCGCTCACCCCTGGCCTCTGACCCCTGCTCCTCTCCCCTCCCCCCCACCCCACCGGTCATTCCTACCGACCTCCTTTGCCCTTCCTCTCTCCCCCGACCTCCATACTCAGTTCTCGGGCCTGGCCGGGGTGGGGGTTCCCCCGACGCCTCCTCTGGCCCTTCCCCTCACACACCCCCTTCCCGTCATCCCTTCGGTCCTCCCTTCCCACCCGGTCTCTGGCCAACCCCAGGTGCTCAGACCTCTCCTGTCCTCCGTCCCACACGCCCCCTCCTCCCTGCCGCCTCTCGCCCCCCTTCACCCCATCGGTCTGACCCACCTTACTCTCTTGCCACATGACCCACCCCAGCCTCTGGCCTCCCCACCCTTCTCCCCAGCCCGCTTACTTCCCGCCCGCCAGCCCCATCTTTTCACTCTCTCCCCAAAGCAGATGATCTGGCCCAGGAGATGGAAGATGTAGACTTTGAGGAAGAGGAAGAAGAGGAAGAGGGCAACGAGGAGGGCTGGGTTCTGGAACCCCAGGAAGGGGTGGTCGGCAGCATGGAGGGCCCCGACGATAGCGAGGTCACCTTTGCACTGCACTCAGGTAGGGCACGGGGGAGGCCTGTCAGACACTCCCTCCAGGCGCATCTGAGCAGCAGACATCCGCCGTGTGCAGAGCCTTATGAGGATGTGGAGGCGGGAAGATGCTGGCCCTGCCCTGGGGGAGCTCACAGGGAGGGGCAGTGTGACCCGTGGAGGAGAGCTTGGCTCCTGGAGTCAGTGGAGACAGCCGGGTTCAAATCCTGCCTTGCTCCTTACTGATTTATGGTCTTTATTAACCTCTCTGGGTGTTAGTTTTCTTTTAAAAAGTTGCCTTTGGTAAAAGTTAGTAAAAGTTATTTTTGTATAAATTAGATATCATAGTGTGTTTTTGAGCATGTTTTATATAACCCTTCCAAGATTAGCTCTTAATAAGGAACCAGCAGTGTGATGCTCTCCTCCCTCTGTTGGTACCCAGCCTGGTGGCATCTCATGCTGAGAACTGTAAGCCCTGCACACCTACCCTCCTGTTGACTACGGCATCAGTGTGGGGGGTGACAGGAACAGCACCCGAGGAGGTCTCCCTGGAGAAGGACTTGGGGCCAGGCAAGCTTGAGGAGGGATTTCTCCAACAACCTCATGCTGGAAACTTAGAAGAACTTAAATGCCTCCTTCTTTTCCACAAGGAAGGACACATTGCTTTGGGTGGAAGGGGGCAGGCTTCCTGAAGGTCCTGAAGGCCAGAACGTTGGGTGGGAGCCCCGTCCCCTGACTCCTGGACTATCTCTTGGGACAGCATCTGTGTTTTGTGTGAGCCTGGACCCCAAGACCAACACCTTGGCAGTGACGGGGGGTGAAGATGACAAAGCCTTCGTGTGGAGGCTCAGCGATGGGGAGCTGCTCTTTGAGTGTGCAGGTGAGGGGACCCGGGTGAGGTTGTGTCCCTTTGGATGTCTTAGGGGGCTAGCCTGCAGCGGTTGTACGTCCAACAGCCATTTATTGACCCCCTTTTTGCCAGTTCTATGCTGGGTCCGCGGACCCCAAAGAATAACATAGTCTGTCGTAGGCACAGGGGAGGGAGGCACTGATTGGCCAGGGGAGTCTGGGAAAGTCCAGGAGGAGGCAACAGTGGCAAAGGAATGTTCGGACAGAGAGGAGACTGGGTTTCAGACAGCTGTGCGGAGTGGACCGAGGGCCAGGACATCGGCCTGGGCTGTGCATGGTTGAGTGGGAGGCCAGCAGTTTCTCCCCAGGAGACCTGGGGATGTTGGTTCCTAGAGTGGCGGTGAGCTTGGTTACCTATTCTGCTGGGACCCGCCTTTCTTTTTTCCCTCTGGGTCCTTTCTGGGGGCCAGATACGTGGGTCCTGTGCCCCCAGCACTGGGTCCCTTGATGTTCTCTTCTCTTTCTGCCTGCTGTTCCTTGCAGGCCATAAAGACTCTGTGACTTGTGCTGGTTTCAGCCACGACTCTACCCTAGTGGCCACAGGGGACATGAGTGGTCTTTTGAAAGTGTGGCAGGTGGACACCAAGGAGGAGGTCTGGTCCTTTGAAGCAGGAGATCTGGAGGTGAGATCGGCAGAGTGGGATCAGCTCTGTGGGGCCTTGGGTGGGGGTGAGAGCTTGGGGTCCCCATTGACCAGACCGGACCAGCGCTGAGCCAGTGTACTCCCAAGGTGCAGCGAGACTGTCTACCTGTTACCTGGAGTGTCCCGCTGACTCAGAAGCAGGAGAGCCCGGTGGGGCCCTGGGGGCAGGCTCCTAGGTGGGACGGGGTGACGGCCTTCCCCGCTGACCTTTCCTCTCTGCTCAGTGGATGGAGTGGCACCCTCGGGCACCTGTCCTACTGGCAGGCACTGCTGACGGCAACACCTGGATGTGGAAGGTCCCGAATGGTGACTGCAAGACCTTCCAGGGCCCCAACTGCCCCGCCACCTGTGGCCGAGTCCTCCCTGATGGTGAGAGCCGCTCCCCTGAGTGGCCCTTCCCAACTGCAGCGTCCTGGGTTATCCACCTCCCTCGGCTCCTGCCCGTGGCACAGCCGGCAGACGCACGCCTGCTCCCCAGAGCACAGGCCTCATAGGCCCTGGAGCAGACAGCTCCCTCTTTCCCACCCTGAACTGGCTCTCCTCCGCTGTTCCCTGGAGCAGTGTCTCTTCCCTCGTTTTGTCTCCCCACCCCCTCCCCCTTTTCCCTTGCTGGGTGTCTGAGCGTGCCGTCCGTCCTTCTCTCTTCATCCGTGCCTCTGGCCCTTTAGGGAAGAGGGCTGTGGTTGGCTACGAGGACGGCACCATCAGGATTTGGGACCTGAAGCAGGGAAGCCCTATCCACGTACTAAAAGGTATCAGAGGTGGAGGAAGGGTCAACCTGGGCCTCTGTGGGGAAGGGGCTGAGACCTCGGGCAGGGCTTGGAGGGCACAGGATGAAGTCTGACTTATCCCCCTGCTCCATCCTAGGGACTGAGGGTCACCAGGGCCCTCTGACCTGTGTCGCCACCAACCAGGATGGCAGCCTGATCCTAACTGGCTCTGTGGACTGCCAGGCCAAGCTGGTCAGTACCACCACCGGCAAGGTGAGTGGGACCCGGAGCCTGGCTGTGGAGCCGTCCACTTTCTGCGTTTTCTCCCCATCCTTTCTTATCCGTCACTCGACCTTCTTGCCCCACCGCCTTTCTTCTCTATTAGAGGACCGTTTCCAGGCCCTTCTCTGATCCTCTCCCCTGGCTCATAGGTGGTGGGCGTTTTCAGACCCGAAACTGTGGCCTCCCAGCCCAATCTGGGAGAAGGGGAGGAGAGCGAGTCCAACTCAGTGGAGTCCTTGGGCTTCTGCAGTGTGTGAGTGTGAGCCAGGGCTCGGCCTGGAGCTGAGAGGGACTGGGGGTGACGGGGGCTTGGGGGAGGTGGCCTGGGCCGCAGGACCAGGACGGAGGGAAAGGCACATGAGTCCAGGTCTCTCCTGGAGCCTTCGTGGTGCTCTCCTCTGCCCAGGATGCCTTTGGCAGCTGTCGGCTACCTAGATGGGACCTTGGCCATCTACGACCTGTCTACACAGACCCTCAGGCACCAGTGTCAGCACCAGGTATAGGCAGCCTGGAGCCGTGGCCATGGCCGTGGGGAAGCCCAGGCTGTTGGGAGTGTCTGCTCCAGACCTGGCTCCTCCTTGGTCCTTCCCTATGGCCCCTCCTCCCTCACCCCCCCCACCCCCCCACCGCCCCGAGTGGGGAGCAGAGGCCTCAGCTCTGCAGCCCTGCCCCCCGCCCGCCTCTGTCGCCCCGGTGCAGTCGGGCATTGTGCAGCTGCTGTGGGAGGCGGGCACCGCCGTGGTGTACACCTGCAGCCTGGATGGCATCGTGCGCCTCTGGGACGCTCGGACTGGCCGTCTGCTCACTGACTACCGGGGCCACATGGCCGAGATCCTGGACTTCGCCCTTAGCAAGTAAGTGAATTGGGCAAGGGCTGGGTCTGTGTGTATTTGGAAGGTGGGAATAGCCCGTGGTGGGGCGCAGGGTCTTTGGGGTATGGGAGGGGATTCCTAAAGGAAGCAGGAATCATGTGAGCAGGAATGCTGGGAAGCCTGAGGGAGTTGTCGCTTCTGGTTGGCAGTGGCCGACTTGGCGTGTCACGTCTCAGTCCCGGGGCCTCGGGCCTTCCCCCATGTGTGGCCCTCCTCCTCTGATCCCCTTGCCGGTTGGTGGCTTCAGGTGTGTTCACCTGACGTGGGCATGTCAGCCAGCGCCAGGCACTTAGGGGTCAGAATTGACGAGGCGCTGGAGGAGGCATCCGAGGGCCCCTACGGGGTGGGCTTGGGCCTGGGCCCCAGGTCTCCAAGTCCCTGCGACCTGTGCTGTCTGTCCGCAGAGACGCCTCCTTGGTGGTGACCACGTCAGGAGACCACAAAGCAAAAGTGTTTTGTGTCCAGAGACCTGACCGCTAATGGCTGCAGCCTCTGCTTTGTGTCCAGTGTTGAGGGGTGGAGGGAGCCCCCCAGCAGAGGCGGGAGGGCACCAGGGGAGAGGAGGGGGTCCTCGGACTACTTTCCAACCCCTGCAAACTGACTTGCCCCCTCCGTCCCTTTCTTCTCCTAAGAGACCCAGCCCTGGGGCCCCCACCCCTCGCCCAGCCCTGGCGGACCCTTCGGAGGGAGGTCAGCCCTCCTCTTTGACTTCCCTTTGCTGGTGTGAGCCGTGGGGGGCGTCTTTGTATGTGGGGAGTAGGTCTCTGAGGTGCCCGTTCTTTCCCTTCCCGAGTCTCTGGGGGTGGAAAGGAGGAAGAGATACTAGTTACAGATTTTAAAAATGTAAATAAAATATACTTCCCAGAGACAGCGCCTGTGTGGAGTTTGTGTTGGCGGGACAGGAGGAACCGTGAGGGGCGAGTCAGGCTGAGGCCCGCCCCCGCCATCTGCTGGCTTTCGGGATAGCTTACCCTCTCTCGTGGGGTAGTTGGTCCTCACCTCCAATCTCTTGCCTGTCTGCAGTTGGAATTTTCCTGAAACATGGCTCTTTTGGGTTCTTTCCACAGCTGTTCCACCTGCCTCTGCCTTTCTGAGTTACAGAAAGAGACAGCCCTTCCTCTGTCAGAGGAGCTTTATTCGGCCAGGGTGGGGTCAGGTAGGGGTAGGACCTCTGATCCAGAGGCCTGGACGGGCTTGGTGGCCAAGATGGATGGAGGCTTCCAGGAGTGAGCAGAGACCCTCGGCTAGTTCAGGTTGGGTTCCACGCTGCTTTGGCTGCTGGTGTGGTAGGCAGTGGCGGGGCCAGGACTGTCCCCGGACACTCTTCCCTGCAGGGCCCGCAGCCACCTTCGGGCGGCTGCCCTCCAGGGGGCCGTGTAGCGCTGGTCCCCCAGCCCCATGGCCACAGGCACGGCTGCCGCACTGGCGCTGCCCAGTGAGATGAGGGACAGCAGAGTTCCAGCCCCCAGTGGTGGGCGGTGCTCAAAGGCCAGGACCGAGAGGAGCTGGGTGGCCACGTAGGGGCCCCAGCACAGCCCGAAGAGCAGTGTGGCTCCGGCCTGGGCCCTCGCCTGCCTCCAGGTCAGGGCCCGGGCCAGGGCCGAGGGTGCTCCGCGACACACTGCCCGCTCCAGCCGGCGGATGTCCTGCAGCTGGCGGTGGGCTGTGAGCAACACGCGGGCGGAGAGCAGGACCACTGCCCCCACGGCGGGCAGTAGGAGCCCGTAGACTTCGAGGTAGAGGTAGGGGGCTGGGAAGACAGCCTGGGAGCTGCAGTTGGCCCCAGGGGCCCAGTGGTTCCACCCCAGAGCTGGCAGGCTGGCAACGAGCAGAGGGCTGGCCCAGGTGAGGAGCAGGGCTAGCCGAGGGCTCCCGCGGGGCCGGAGAGGCCGCAGCACCGCCATGTAGCGCTCCCCGTGCACCAGCAGGAGGTTGGCGAGCAGGGAGAGGAAGGAGAAGTTGGGAGCCAAGTAGAGGAATAGGCAGGACCAGTAGCCGCGGCGGCTCTGGCTCCACAGGCCTGGCAGTGTGGGCAGCGCCAGCCCCGTGAGCAGCCCGGCCAGCAGCAGGCTCAGGAAGAAGCAGCCGGCCGGCGGGCTGCGCAGGCGGCGGTCCTTGGCGATGCCCAGGGCCAGGAGCAGGTTGGCAGCAACGATGAGACTTGCCAGGGCCAGGAAGAGCCCCAGGGCCCCCACAGGAATGGGGCTGGGCGCCTCCCTGGTGCCGTTGGGTGTCATCTTGGGCCTGGGGGCAGGGGAAGCCTGGAGCAGCAGCCGGCATGCCTGGAGGGAGGGTGGGACAGTCAGGGTCAGGGCGGGGCTGTGGCCACATGTTCATCCAGAGGTTGCAGACCGACGGACTGTGGGCCATAGCCTCTTTGCTAGTACACATTTTTTTCAATTCTTTGCCAATTAAAATTTACATACAATTCGTATTTTTGGCTTCTCAAAAAATCAGGTCCGGCAGCATGTCCTATATGGTGGCAACCAGCTGGGGGCTGAGTGGTGGCCGCCTTCAGACAGGTCCCCACAGTCCCCGCCAGGCCACTTGGCCCATCTCTGTTCTCTGCCTGGCTCCTCTGGGCAGCTGTGTTTCTGCCTCTGTTTACACCTAAAGGGGGACCTGCCCAGCCCCAGAGCATTTGTCCATCTCTGCCTCCACCTGGCAAGGCCTCTAAATTAGCCAGGAGGAAGGAGATGGGGTCCGGCTGGTGCGCAGTGGTCTTCCTCCAGCCAGCCAGCCAATAATGGAGAGCCTCCTTCGGGCTGGAGTGGGGCCGGGGGCTGGAAGTTGGGGCTAAGATGAAGGAGAGGGGTCCCTGTCTTCAGATGCTCGCCGCGTGCTTGGCGCCAGAGCATTCAGAGATGGTAGGTTGGTAGGAAGTGGGGGTGGGGCAGGAGAGAGGTGGGGGCAGGGCTTGCTGGGCACTCGCGTCAGTGACGAGGCCAGGGCCATGGGTGGCAGCAAGCGGGGTGCCCTGTCCCCTGCACCCCCTCCCCCATCCGCCCTTGCGGCCGGTTCCAGCTCAGTGAGCAGCCTCCGGGTAGGACTTCCAGCCCATAAACTTGACTCATCCGCACCACACTAGCAACAGGCCTTCCTGGGAACCAGCAGAGAGAGACGAGTGGGGCGGGGGGAGGAGGGCTTGGCAGTGAATGTGGAGATGCCAGCGGCAAGGAGGACCCCCACACACAGCCCAGGGGTGGAAGTTGAGCCCAGAGGAGAGGGAAGAGGCTGGGCAGGGCCTGGCCTGTCTGTGGCTCTGATCTGTCCCTGTCCTTTCCTTCCCTTGGCTCCCTGTACTCAGTCCTCCAGCACCCTGGCCCCACTGCCGCATCATGGTGACAAGGGAGGGGTCCTGGGCCCAGTGGGAACTCCTGCTTCTGTCAACAGGGGAGCAGCTGCTGTTGCTAGGATTAAAGTCAATAAGGAAAGGATTCCTGCCTGCCCCCTCCCCCAGGTCAGAGGACCAGGGCCCCATGGCCACCCTGAGCTCAGGAGAGGCTGCTCCTTCCATTCCATTCCCCACAGGCTCCCAAGCCGGGCCCCCACCGCTGCACCCTTCCCCCTCTCCTCAGCTCGTTTCCTCCTCCTCCCTCTCCCCCAGGCCCTCCACTCAGGGCATTTCTCTCTCCGGAAGCCTTCCAGTTTCTGTTCCCCCTCGTCCCTGCACCATCAGCTTTATTAAACCCATGAGACCTCAGGGCCTGTCACTTCAAACCCAGCGAGTCCCACACCCACCTCCACCAGAGCAGCAAGAAAGGCAGGGTTGGGCCCAGGTGACCGCATTCTGCACACCCTGAGGCTCTGGTGGCTCAGGCTGGGTGCAGTGGCCTCTTCAGGATGATCTGGGGCTTTGGTCCCCAGGTGTGGCTAGGGGCTAGGGAGTGGTGGGGGGTAGCCACTCACATGGCTGTTCGAGCCAGGTCTTGCTGCCCAGCCTGGGCGCTTCCTCTGAGTTTCAGGGAGTTGCTGCAGCCAGCCCTGCAGGGCTTCTGAAGACGTCCGGTGTCCTGGCCGGTGAGAGCACGGTGCCTCCACTCTGCGGGGACAGCAGGGACCAGGGCTCTCAGCTGCCCAGGCTCTGCCCCGCCTGGGTTCTCGGAGGGGTGGAGCTGAGGTGGGCTGGGCTTTGCCCTGGCCCCGCCTCTGGGGGGTGGGACCTGGCACAGGCTGAACTGCAGCAACTGGGAGGCCTTCCTCTCCCTCCTCCAGTGCCCCCTCCCTATCCTGCTCTACAGTGTCGGCCCTCTCCAGCCACCTGTCATAGCCTGCCACCTAGGTGTTGGATCCTCAGCCTCAGGTCAGCCAGCTGAAGCCCTCTGGCCTGCTCCTGCCTAGCTGATCTGAGAAATGCATTCCAGTTAATGGATAATAACGATGTTGTCTACTCCTCCCCACCCCCCACCTCACTTACACATTTACATTTTATGAGCCTTAAACCTCTGGAGTGGCCAGCCAGCAGACAGCATGGCCAGCTCAGCTCCATAATTCAGCCAGCCTGCAGTAGAGCAGTGTGTGTGTGACAGCGGTGGCCGGGGTCGGGGGTGGGGGGTGGTGCTGGAGCCTGCCGATCTTCACAGCTCCCATCCCATCACCTGGTGGGCCTTTCAGCTTATAAAGCCAGCCTTGCCTTCCAGAATCTGGGCTCATTCTACACTTTTCTCAACTACTGTGAATCAGGTTCTGGCTCTGGAGGTGCGACATTGGGCAAGCCACCTCTGGACCTCAATTTTCCCATCATAAAATGGGAACGAGGAAAAGCACTTCTGAGGGTGGTCGCGGGGAATACGGTTGCATAACGTGTAACTGCATGTACCCCAGTTCCTGACCGCTGATGGGGGAGGGTGTCAACAAACAGCTCCCCTCTCACTCCATGATGACTGAGAGGAGGAGCCAGGGTGGAATCAGAAAGTAAAATGGGGCTCATATTGTGCTCACCTATTGTGAGATTAAATGAGATAACGGGTGATAAAGACTTAGATCAGCACTTGGCACATAAACACTCGGGACAGTGAGAGGAAGGGCAAGTTCAAGGCTGGGGAGCCAGGTGTGGTGCCCCAAATTCCATCTTGTATCAAATGTGGCTTTGGGGTGAGGGAGAGAAGCCAGTTACACTTCCTTGAGGCCTGAAATGGGAGGGAACAGGCTAACGACTACAGCAAGAAAGCTGGAGGTAAGACATTAGGGAGAACTTCCTCGCTGCAGAGCACAAAGATGGAGCAAGGGGACTTCTGCACTTTCTGGGGGAGACCTGGGCCTGAAGGGCTGGAGGCCTGAGGGGTCTGGCTCGGCCAACCCTGCACAGCAGTCAGGATTCCCGGAGGGGCAGGACTTCTGTTGGGACAAAAAGTGGGAAGAGGAAAGCATCCAGTCTCAAAGCCATCCTCCAGGGAGCTGGTGGGCGGGAGGATGCTGGGCTCCAGTGGACGGCCCTCAGGCCCACGCTGTCTGGTCGGGCAAAAGTCAGAGGCTCTGAGAGAGTTCAGCCGGGCGTCGGGACACAAGTCGGGGGGGCCCCTTGGATATCGGACTGCCAGAAATAAACAGACCTTCTGTTCCCAGCCCTGGCCTGCAGGATCCAGGATGTCTGTGTTTCTTCTTCTCGGATCTTTTTAAACACTGTGTGTGGGGTGATGTATGAAGGGGACAAAGGCGGCGGCAGCCAGGAAGCCTGGGTTCTGTCCCGTGCTCAGCCATTTCTTCCTTACTGGAGCATCCAGCTACTCTCTGCCCTCCCTCAGTCCCTGGGACTGACTCATCCTCAGCCCTCTCCCCTCCGCCCACGGGAGGGCTGGGGGGCAGTTTTCAGATGCTCCATCCAGCAGGTCCTGCAGGCTCCAGAGCCCCCACCCCGTCCCCACTCTCCTCTCCTCAGGTAGAGCCTGCATCACAGTGCCCAAGCCAGACTCGGGCAGGGAATCCTCCTGGGCTTCCTCAGTCCACTCCATTCTCGTTTCTCTCTGCTGAACCTCGGGGTCTGATGCAGAGGCTGGGGGTACCAACTGGATGAGCAGAGGCAGCAGGGCGCTGGGGCTTCTTGGATGCTGGTTGGCCTCCTTGAGCTGCTGTTCAACACTCTTCACTCCTCGTAGGCAAGAGCACATGAGCCCTTGAGAGGCTTTGAAGGGCTCTGGGCACAGTCCTGTGACTGTGACTGGCCAGGATCCTGGCCTCAGGAGCCCTAATTCAGCTATAGGAGCAGAAGCAGCCTTAGTTCTTCCTGTTGGGGCTAAACCACCAGATTCTCCAGGTCTCCCTAGGAGCCACAGAAATTGCAGTGTCTCTAGCAATCCCAGAAGGGGGCAGCATTGCTTGAACTCAAAATAGCCTCTGGAATAGACGCAGGCTTGGGGCAAGGGTCCATCAGGCCTACTTCGAATGAGATTGAAGGGAGCAGAAATGGCAACTGCCGAGTGCGGGCTGCCCATGAGGGCTGATGCAGCTGGCAGCGCTACTTCCTTCTCCTGGTTTCAACTTCCTGCTCTCTGATCCCACCCTCCTACTTCCTGTTAAGTCAGATTTCCTTTTCCACCAAGCTCCTAGTTGGTTAGCTTGTCCAGGTCCCACTCTATCCAGATACGAGATTCCCAATACCTTCCTCAGGCCCCTGCAGTTTAAAGGCCACCCAAGCAGGGAAAAATACCAACTGTCTTGGGCAGGACCTGGAAAACCCCAAGACAGAATGACCTTGGCTTACACTGGACTTCGCTTCCTCAGCAGGTCTGCCACTTCTGATCCTCTCGAGTATAGGAATGGAACTACGATTTATTAGATGGCATTATCAGTTATAATTACAGGTATTATAAATGCCTACGATGTGATAGGCACTTATCTGTCCTGGTTCCCTGTTAAACGCCCTGTGAGATAGGCGGTGGTATGTTCAAGTAGAGATGAGGCTACCGGGCTCTGATGAAGAAATCTGCTGTCACACAGCTATTAAACGGTGGAACCTGGATTCAAACCCAGATCTGTCTTCAAAGCAGTTTCCCACCTATAGACCTCACATCCAGTCGCCTACACATCCCAGGTGTGGACCTTTGGGCATGTGAGCCGATTAGTGGTCACGGAGACAAGATCACACTTTTTCCCCAGCCCACATCCCCTGAGTGCTCGACCCTCATCTTGAGCCCTCCCTCCTCCCACAATCCTGTGGGCCTTTGCCCACGAAGGGGATGGAAGGAAGGTCTTTGAGAGTAGACCCACTCCAACACCAAGTGTGTTCTGGAAACAGGTGAAGACAAAGGAACGAGTCTGGAGAGGGTTTTCTCCAGCATGGACTTTTTATGCTGACAAATAGTCTTGGAAGTAAGATACTGCCTTAGCATCTACTGCTCTAATATTTAATGTCTCTCTGTTTTTCTAACTCCATATTTTCTAAGCAACCTTGGTGTTGCCATTCTACAGCACTTCTCAGAAATCTGACCCCCACTACTGGCGAAAGAGCGCAGTGAATTCCAAGTTACTCAGGAGTCAAGTTCTAAAGTCAGCGAGAAAGCAAACACTGCTTCTAGTCAGCACTACCCTTGCAAACCCCTTCAATACTAGCTCATGGGGTACAGAATATACACGTCACCACCTCTCGATAAATCTAATTTAGCCAGGTTTTCCACCTACCAGAAGTAGGTGACAGGGGCCACGTCCCAGGAAAACGCTGGGCAGACTCAGCTTGGTGAACTCTTTCAACCAGGGGCCACAGGGTCAGCCTCACTCAACAAGGGGACAGCACTCTCCAGAACACGTTTGCTGGGGAGATGGGCACGTAACTGCATCCTGAGCCAAGAGCCCATTCAAGTCAAGTAAAATGAAGTCTGGATGCCTGAATGACCTGTGGCTTTCAAACTTCTTGACTGTGACCCACAGTAAAAAGAGACTTTTACACTCCAGTCAAGATGTGCGCATAGAACCAAAACACATTTCAAAATCAGTACTCACCCTTACTAGGTGTGATGCACTCCGACCGATCTAGTCTACACTCTTTAAAAATGCTGGCGATGAAGTTACATGTGATTAAAATGCGCAGAAATACACAACACACACACACAGACGAGTGCACATGAAACTGGCGACATCTGAGCAAGGCCAAGACTGTGTGGACGTCGGTTTCCTGGCTGTGACACCGTACTACAGCTATGGCAGATTTTCACCCTGGGGGAAAGTGGGTGAAGAGTATACAGGATCTCTATTATTTCTCACAACTGTATGTGAATTTACAATGATCTCAAAATAATTTAGGAAATAAAAAGTGCTATTTGTGATGGAGATTTCACAATTCAGTAATGGGTCTCAAACCTGTCTGAAGCACACTGCCCTAGATGGAGACAAATTAAAAGCGGAAGCAGGTAGGAAGCATTAGGACGGTCCTAAGTCCGTTTCAGTGACCCTGCAATCCTCCTGATAAGTCTTCACCAAGCAAACTTTCTGGACCAATTTTATTTTAGGGCCCAGTGTCCTGCTCGGGCACAGCACGCTGTGCTAGGCTCTGTGCTGTTTGCTAGGTGAGACTCTCCCAAAGTGAGTTGCGGGGAGTGCCAGTCTTCTGAGCTGTTGTGTGAGAAAGAGTTAGTCTGTATTAGATCCACGCCTAATTCTCATCAATGTCCTGCAGAACCACACACGCCATGGAACACATCTGGGGAAACACTATACATTATTCATGATAAAAGAACAAGACAGAAAACACTTCAATGTGCCTGTCACCATCCTGGGAGCTCCCTGGCCACAGCGAGAGACTTCATAAGTGAGCTTTACAGTTGGCATGTTCAAGCTCACTCAGAAATACCAACCAAGAGCTCACTAGTGAGCCATTCTCTCCTCTGAGGGGAGGCTGGGGGCTCCTGACCCAGAGGGTTTCCGGCTCCAGTCTGCAGGTTCAAGGGCAGTGCAGGTCTACCCTCCTCTGTCCTCTCTCTTTTGGACTCACAGGCCAGAAACCCAGCAAATTCTTATGTAAGATAGAAAGATTTTCTTTATTAATGACCCCAACCGTATTCTTTAGATACAGGAGTTTTAAACTCAAATACTTGGGAAAAAAACAAGTTAAGATTGCATTATCCTGCAACTCATTACCAGTAACATATTGCAAAGCGAAACAGCTTGGAAAAGAGGGTGGAAGGGAAGGGGGGTGAGGGAGGGAAGACAAAGAAAAGGAAGTAAGTTGATCAAGTGGAATTCTTCTTTTTCTTTTTTTAATTCTTGGGAACTATGAAGTCCTTGCAAGCACAGCTCGTTTCTGCAGATTATTTTCCAAACGTGTACAAAATGGAACCAAAACGGAGAATCTCTCAAGAACCTGAAGAGGTGCAACGTTAAAAGCTACGATTATCCAGTAGCAAGTGTTCCAGCCTTCAGTTGCCAGCCGAAGCTTCCTCTTCCTGTTCCCAAGAGTTAGCGGGATGAAAACGTCTTCCCCCTTCAAAAGCAGAGAGTAAGTGTGAAGGCTAGCTCCTGGCTCACCGTGCGTCCCAGCCCACACTTCTGCACCAGGGAGGGGACCCCAAGGAAGACAGCCGACAAGAGGTGGAGAGGCACCTGAGGCAGAGGCACGTGGGAACTCCAGGCACGGGCGAAGACCCAGTTTTCACAGAACGGTGCCATCGGCTCCCTCTTCCTACTGAAGACTTTGGGTAATAAGCATGCTAAGCCAGGGGCACACAAAATGCACCAAGTCAGAGGGGGAATCACGTGCCCACCATCTCTGGATGGCCCAGATCTACTAGCATTCCACACAGCTCAACCCTCTTCCCAGCAGAGCGTTCAGGCTCCTCCTGCACAGCTTCTATCTTTTTGGGCTGACAGAGAGCAGTTGCTTAAACTTTTCACCCTGCGGCAGGATGTTCAAAGAAGCCTCTTTCAAAACTTCCAAGGTTAGGGGCTCTTCCTCTTGCCATGGGGCAACCCCACTCTGGGTTAGGGAACACCTGCCTGACTTCAGGCCCTGAATTGTGGGTCCTGTTCCACCCGGAAGGGCCGGCTTTGGGAACAGACGGGTTCCCAGAAGCAGAGGGCATTTGGTAAAGCAGGCTGGAGGCTAGAAGTGAGAACTACGGGAAACCGAGGCAAAAATATGGGGGCTAAGTTTTTCCTGCCCAGAATGGCTCACCTACTGCAAAATGAAACCCTATTTTATTACCCTTCCCCACAAATAAAAAGCTGGTTGGGGCTGGCCCCGTGGCCGAGTGGTTAAGTTCGCGCGCTCCACTGCAGGCGGCCCAGTGTTTCGTTGGTTGGAATCCTGGGCGTGGACATGGCACTGCTCATCAAACCACGCTGAGGCAGCGTCCCACATGCCACAACTAGAAGGACCCACAACGAAGAATACACAACCATGTACCGGGGGGGCTTTGGGGAGAAAAAGGAAAAATAAAATCTTAAAAAAAAAAAAACAACAACCTGATGAGTGCTCAATCCTGGCCGAGCTGCGGGTGCTGCCTCTGAGGGTCAGCTTCTGATGCAGGGCCACCTCACAGCAGGTGTACTGCCCTTCTCACGCTGCCCCGTGTGGGGGCCTGCTTATCCCGCCCCGCCATGCCAGCCACTCCCCTCGCCCTGACAGCACGCTCTGGCTTCAGGGTGGATGCGGCTGTTTGCCTCTCCTCCTTTCTGAGGCCCACCTCTGCCGAAAAGTGATCGCGGGGCAGAAAAAGGCAGAACTGTTCTTTGCAAGTCCCAGGAAGGAGGGAGAAGGGGAGCCTGTCAACTCCAGGCCGGAGGTGAGGCGTGGAGGGGCAGCGAGGCACGGGGGCCAGGGCACATCCCTGCCTCTCCTCCGCAGTAGGTTTGCCGTTCTAGGCTGGGCCATGGCGTCTGGACACGTCTCTCAGCAGAGGGGCCAGTTCTGTCTGAGTCCCACTCCGCAGGCTCTGGGCGGCAGGCAGAACTCCTCCAGAGAAAGGCCTCGGTGCCAGCCTCTGAACGAGAGCGGGTCATCTCTACAGCCTGTGCCTAAGGAAGTCTGACTTCAGCTGCTCTGCTCTGAGGTTTCTGAGATCGAAAACCCTCTGTTCAGGAACAAAGAGCCAGGCACCTCTCTCGTCCTGTCACACGGCAGCAGAAACACACTTGGTGGAAGAGGCCTCAGATGCCAGGGGAGGGAGCCTGAAGCCCTGTGTACACCACACCCACCAAAGGTCACCCCCAAGAGTACTGGGTGTTGGCAAAAAACTGGCTGTGAGCCGAGCGGGGAGGCCAAGCTCATCTCCAGGCTTCAATGCAACGGGCATGACAGACAGCAGACAAACACTCCACCCTCTCTGGAGTCAGGATGGCCCCGCTCCACCAGAGGGGAGCCCAGAGCTGGCACCCTGCATGAAGACCTAACTCCCGAGGCTCCTCCCATGCCAGCCCTCCCTCGAAGCACCCCAGTGAGGCCGGAGAGCTCTGCTCCTCATTTCCACACCGATGGGGACCACTTCCTCTCCATGCAAAATTCCTGCTGACAGGCGCACCAGAGAAAGAATTTATGGGTGGTTCTAGGCCCATTTATGCAACTAAATGTCCTCAGGCAAATTACTCCATGGAATTCTTGAGAAGGACAAGACTGACCTCTCAACTTAGGCCCAAAGAGACAACAGTTTATCTTGGCAAAAAGGTCCCTCTGCCTTCTTCCTAGCTGCCATTCTGCTCGCTCACAAAGATGTGGAAACAAGGGGACCCAGCCCGGCCCCTCGGCAGTGTGACCTCTTCCTCCATCTTTACTCTGTCAGGTACTGCAGCCCAGCCCGCACCTGGCCCTCCTCCTTGCTGAGCTCAGGGTATGAAGGGACCCCCCCGCCCCCGGCCCCCCGCCCCACTCACGTGATTGTTCTCATTTCTTTCTTTTCCGCATCTGGGCGTGCACGGTTCAGCACCTTGAGGAAGTCGGAGGTTTTTGCCCGCATCCGGGTGTGAATATAGGCCTGAGGGAAAACACAGTGGGGCTGAAGTGGAGTCGGGATCAGAAAGACAGCTTTGCCTTCATCAGGAGAGGTTATTAGGACAGAACACATGCCCTGGGAAAGCGGGAGGACAAGCCCTTCCGGAAACATATTCGTCTCCTTGCTGAGGGAGAGAGTGGGGAGACATGACAAAAGGCCATGATTTCTCGAAGCTTCTAGAACCACCTACTTAGAGTTCATAGCAGAAGCCTGGACTACAGGAACAACTTTTTACGTTACCAGCGCTAGTGGCGAGAACGAGCCGGAGCACACGGCTGGGGATGCTGGGCCTCTCACCTTAGAGCACTTGATGTGGTAGTGCAGGTAGTCCCGAAACGTGTGGATCAGGTTGATGGTGTTGTCTCGAGCGCTGGCGTTGGTGTGGCGAGGGAACAGCACTGTGGGTGGGGACACAGCCGAGGCGTCAGGGTGTAACACCACTGCCAGAGGGCAGGAAGTCAACCCCACTCTCTCCCTGCTTAAGTACAATCCACTTGTTTCATTCTGCCCAGGCTTTGTCAGGGTTTTCTCCTCGAGAAGAGGCAAGGATAGACACCATGACCACAGCAGGTGCCAGTGAGAGCAAATGAGGGACCTCAAGAACGACGGAGGAGAGCGTGGTGGGAACCGTTCTGAAATCTATTCCCTGTTAGCCACACACCTCCCAGCCCCTGCCTGCAGTCAGCACTCTCTCTGGGAGGAGACACTCGGCCACCTGGGTGGACCTTGGAGAGAACGCTTCACCTTAAGCAATCGGGATTAGGATACAAAGCCTGTCTGCCCTGGTCCTTGGACTGAAGAGGAGCCATCCTTCAGAGAGACGAGACTCCAGAGAGGCCCCGCAGTCTAGGGTAGACACCAAGCACCAGGGCGTAAGGCCTACAGCTTCGTGATGAGGACAGGCAGGAGGAGCTGCCCAGCCAGGGCGGCGGAGACAGCCCTCGCGAGCCCTGGAGACTGTGCGCCATGCAGCCTGTACCCTTGGGCAGGCCTGCACCCCTCCTTGGCTTCCGGAATCCTCTCTCCCTTCTGCACCTACTCTACCCAGCACTCTGACTGCCAGCTAAATGCTCTGAGTACGAAGTTTTGCTGAAATCAAAAGGAATGCTTCCTAAGAAAGGGTGGAAGCCCTGTGTCAATGTGCCCTGAAGAGAAATGAGCACCAGGCCAGGAGACCACTACACTGCACAGAATCTAAGAGGCTACTGACTATAAGTTTACCATTAGTTTATGCACCGTAAAGAGAGAAATGCTGCCAATTAAACTGTGACATGCCATGAATTGTAAGCTGCATCCCAACCGAAAGATAATAATGTGAAAAAAAAGGTGCAGCTTAAACTTCATGAAATATGGTAAATCAAGTCGCTCATCACCAATATAACAGGTACATCTTAACACTGAGGTGAATCAAACAGAACCTCACAAAAGGAGACATTTCAGCGAAATCAGGTGCCCTGTGTGAATGAGCTGTTATTCCCAACTGTCAGCTCGATAATGAGCCAGCTCACTAGGCTGAAGTAACCGTGAGGCAGGCAGACTGGAACTTCTTCAGTGGAAAAGTGGAATAAGTGAATCACGGCTGGAGCCTGGGCTTAATAAGCAGAAAACCAAGAAATGCCAAAGGACAGAGCATCTCCACCCAGCTGCTTAGCGACCCTACGTGCTCCCAACCCTCACCACTGGGCGTCCGAGGCTACCCTTTCTTCAGTAGGATTAAGAAAAACGGGAAATGATTACTGTACAAAAATAGCACACGACCTGTAATTAGTGTCCCATGACATCCCTCCTACAGTCACGGCAATGGCAGTAAAAACAACTTAGCATGCCTGCTTTTGCCCCCCTTACCATATGAACAAAGGTCCTTCCAGACTCGCAATCTGCAATATGAACGCGTGAACGTGGCAGCCCTGCCCCGCTTACCGAAGGTAATATAGCCGATGTTGTCACCCACGGCAGCGTCGGTGTCCTTCAGCTCCAGAGGAGGTTCCCTGTGGCTAAAGAGGACCTGTGGGGCTGTGTGGCTGGCTCTGCGTCCTTCTTTGAACTCCTGCCAGGATGAAGCAACAAACAACCAGAAGAGAATCTGGTGTAAGATGAATAGCAATTTTTGCTATGGGGTTTGCCCTGTGGGGTACGACCTTTGTAGCCCGGGGACCAGCAGATGTCTAAAAATAAACTGCACCTAACAGGAAACATTACAAGTGCTGGCTGCTATTGACACACTTCAGATTCAAAAAGGAGCTACAACAACGCACTTGACAAGTCTGAGCTTCAAAATGCAATGTCAAGCACTGTCACTCCCCTTCCCTCTCTCTTGTTCTGGAACAGCACAGGGGTAAAATGACACCCGAGACTAAACACACAACCAACTGCAGAGCACTGGGAGAGCCACATTACATTTAGGATAAGGACTATTGCTTATTAGTTCCTTTTGATTTAATGTGAAAAGAAGTTATATTTTTCAGGAAATCTTTAAAATTTCGAGGTAAGTGGAATCCAAGCTTTAGTTTGGTTATGACTTTCAGATGAAGTCTTTTTTTTTTTTTTTTTTAAGATTTTATTTTCCCTTTTTCTCCCCAAAGTCCCTGGTACACAGTTGTGTATTTTTAGTTGTGGGTCCTTCTAGTTGTGGAATGTGGGACGCCACCTCAGCGTGGCTTGATGAGTGGTGACCATGTCTGCGCCCAGGATCCGAACCAGTGAAACCCTGACTGCCGAGGCGGAGTGCGCGAACTTAACCACTCAGCTACGGGGCCGGCCTCTCAGATGAAGTCTTAACTCCTGTCTTTAGATATAAAGCCCCTTACAAGATGACCCATTTTTCATCACTCCCCTCATTCCACCTCCACCTTGTCCAGTTTCACGAATACCACACTTTCTCTGGGCTCCGGGCCTTTGCATGAGTCTTCCTTCACTGAAGTGTCTTAGATCCTATTGCTGCTTAGAATTCATCAATCAGAACTTTAGACCAAATTTAAGCCCTTCTTGGTGGCAGAGGACAACGGAGCTAAAGAAGCTGAGCTGCGTTAGTGTTCATTAAAAAAAGGGGACCATGTAACATGAGAACTGACAGTCTAGTTTTTAATTCTGGCTCTTGAATGGCTCTGAAATAAATAACCACTACTCTGCATAAGAGCTCATCGCCCTTAACAAAATGTATCCATCCTCATCAAACTACAGAAAAACGACGGAGGATTAAAAACCAGGCCATTCCTTCCATGTTCTACTCTCTAAACCTCAAACTTTTCCAATCCATACAGTCCTGTGTAAAGAGACATGTGATAGAAGGCATCCCCATCTCAACCCAGATCTACAAAAACAGAACGAGATTTGCCAGTAAAGCCAGATGATCCAAAGTCACTGAGTGACGGCAGAAGAAACCAAGGGCTTTCCAAGGCCTCTGAGTTCTACAAGGCCTAAGACCCGTCTACACAGCCATTCAGCCTGCAATGTTCTGCGGCTGCTATTCAAATACGACCCCTTCTGTAACGCCATCTCCACAGGCCGGGGCAGCGGGCTGCTCTCTTGTTGGAGTGCTCTCTTGTTGGAGTTGCCATGGCTTTTCTACAAACCTCTACTGTGACACTTTACTATTCATTAACGCATCTGCCTTCCCTACCAGGCTGTGAGCTCCTTGAGCCAAAGATCCTGCTTTATCCATCTCTGTATCTATTCCTCTGTCCTTCAAAGAGGTGTCCAGGGGCCAGCCCGGTGGCACAGCGGTTAAGTGCACACGTTCCACTTCGGCAGCCCGGGGTTCGCTAGTTCGGATCCCAGGTGCGGACAGGGCACCGCTTGGCAAGCCATGCTGTGGCAGGCATCCTATATATAAAGTGGAGGAAGATGGGCACGGATGTTAGCTCAGGGCCAGGTTTCCTCAGCAAAAAGAGGAGGATTGGCAGCAGTTACTGCAGGGCTAATCTTCCTCAAAAAAACCAAAACAACAAAAAAAACCCAAAGAGGTGTCTAGCACAAGGCTTGAGGAATGAAAGAAAGCACTTCTACCCAAGCTGACTCAGCGCCATCTCACTGGGAAGGACGGAGTAGGACTACGCTTCCATTTGCAGATAAGAGAGTACACACTGATGAGCAAGCCCTAAGGAAAGAAGCAGCAAGGAAAGGCAACATTGCCCGGTTTGACCTCCCTGCCTCCCCACCCTGCCTCCCAGCCAGCACGGCTTGGCTTCTAAAGGTCAGGGGACACAAAATGAACACCGCTGGGTTAGGTTAGCGCCCTTTCAAACACATCTTATTCCCCATAGGAAAACTATCTGGGGAGGCAGGGAAGAAGTCTAGGTCATTCAAAATGGAAATTCCTAAAGCAAAGCTTCTGAGATTGCCCCTCTCTAGCAAACACCATTCATCCTGAATAGGGGTTGGGAAGTTTTCTAACTTCTATTGGTTTTAAGTCTTTAGCCCCAGGGGAGAAAAGAGAACAGATAGTAACTGTCTGCTGGCGTTTTCTTGTGTTAAGCATCTCGAAGGCTCCAATTCACTGGTACATGTGTGTTCACAACCAGATGGGGTATTTGTAAACCTGTGGGGATTTATTAGTTTCAGCAATTCTGTACGTGGAAAATAACCAAATTTCAGACTTGGTTAATAACATTCCTCTGGTCTGGGACCATCCTTTAGCCCTTTATCCTTTGTTTCTCTCTCTTAAATAACACTTAAAAACCAACCAACCAACCAACCAACCCAAATGGCTTTCCGTTTTCTTCCATGTCTTTGTTACATACGTCTCAACGATCCTGCATCACAATACTACTTCTCTCTTCCTTCAAAGTACAATATATCATAGGAAGTTCAAAATCAATCCAAACAGATAGAGAAATTTAGTGTATGATAAAGGTAGCACCTTAAATGAGCGGTATGAACAGGGATTTTTAAATAACTGCTACTGGGACAAGTGGGTAGCCATTTAGGAAAAAAAAGGATACATCTTTTATACCTTAACCAGGAGAAACTCCGAATAGAGAAAAAGATTTATGTGTAAAATACGAAACTGTAAAAACACCATAAAAATAATACAGGGAAAGTTCTTCATAACCTGGAGTAGGGAATGAGTTTTAAACTGACTCAAAATTTAGAAGCCCTCAAAGAGAAGACTGATCAATTTAACTACATGAAAATAAACTTCTGCATGGGAAAACACTCAAAGCCACAAAGTCTAGTGACAAAATAGAAAAAATATTTGCAACTCTTTTAACAAAGGGCTTAGCTCCCTAGTATATAAAGAAATCGAGAAGATCAATAACCCAATAGAAACGGGTAAAAGACAGAAAGAGACAGCCCACAGGAAAACAAAAACAAATAGCCTTCAACACAAGAAAAGATGTTTTGACCTTGCTCATAAGAAAACGCAGATACCATTTTAACCTATCAGATTGGCGGAAATCCAAAAGCCCGACAACACACTCTGGGGAAATGAGCATTCCCACGCACCACAGGTGGGAGGGCAAATGGTACACCCTTTGTGGAGGAGAGTTTGGCAGTACCTACCAAAATTACTGAACAGGACTCAGTGTTCCCACTGGCTTCTAATGGTTGGTGGAAAAATAATTAATATATTAAAAAATCAATATCCTAGGGGCCGGCCCGGTGGCGCAGCAGTTAAGTTTGCACGTTCTGCTTTGGCAGCCTGGGGTTCACCAGTTCAGACCCCAGGTGTGGACCTACGTACTGCTCATCAAGCCATGCTGTGGTAGGTGTCCCACATATAAAGTAGAGGAAGATGGGCACGGATGTTAGCTGAGGCTAATCTCCCTCAAAAAAAAAAAAATCCTATAGATATAACCACATATGTATATAGGTAGAAAGGGTCTTCAAAATAACACCTTCACAATTGCCTAAGAGGCAGATTGTGTGTGTCATGTCCCTGAACATAAAGAAACCTGTGGTTCCCACTTAACGTTTCTTAGGTCCTGAGCGTAACTTGTCTTAACGTTTCTTAGGTCCTGGGCGTAACTTGTCCCTGCTGCTTTTCACAGAATGAGCGATGAAATGATGATGTCTACCAGACTTTAGTGCTAAGCTTGCATGCCTACAAAGATAACGCACCAAAGCCGAGCACTAGGCCATCCACGTGAGTGGGGAATGGAACTCCCATCTGCTTCCTAGAGGCAGTAAGCACCCCTCGGCGTCTGCCTGCCAAATGACAAAAGCAGGAATCGTGTTCTGACCACGCTGGAGGTGCATGCTGGCATGGCAAAACCCACAGAGGCCCACAGCAAGCAGATTAGTGGTCATGAGGAACTTCAATCAGGGTCCCTGGGTCACAACGTTGTGTGCTAGACATCCACTGCTCTCCTTTCTCCTAGCAATTTACCTAGGCCGAGGAAAATGTTCTGATGATTTATTTGGGGGAGAAAACCCAGCAAACTATGTCCAGGTTTCTATGGTCATTTCAAATAAATTACCCTGGCCTTGGAATTTGGAGAGGAGGCAGGGCAGATGGCTTCCTGAGCACAGCCTTCTCACATTCCTAGACACCAGCTGGGCCTGCGTGGTGTCGGGCCAGTCACTCACTGGAGATACTGTCAGTGCAAAAATGCAGAGACTCTGTCCACCCTTTTAGACAAGCGCCCTACCACACGGACTGTGAGGGAGGAGTTTAATTTCACAGGCAAAAAGGAATACGCAAAATTCTCCTGAGGAGCAAATCTCCAGTAAATTCTCCAAGATAAGATCTGTTTAAAGTATAAAAATAAGTTAAGATGTCGCTTAGAATAAAATGGAACAAGACTGGTAACAAACCAGCCAAATCTAAATATATACTTTAATGCTTTTAAAATTAGTCCGTCAGTCTGGATTTAGCCCAATTTCTGAGCTACTGAATTTAATTCCCTTGTCAATTCTCTATAAAAACACATGAAATGCCTGTCTAGAGGCTTACACTTAGGACCCACTATCTCTCTCTCTTTCTCTATATCTATGTATTCACATACACACTTTAGAGAGTATAAAGTTTAGTACTTTCAAACGCTGGAAGTGTCAATATTCCAATTTTTCTGCATACGGACTCTAAAATTAGAGTTTCTGATTAATGAGCCTAAACACAAAAAGCCACTAGAGATAGATCAAATTGGGGATACTGTTTCTGAAGATTTCCCTAGCCACTTGGAAAGGCTACACACAAAGTATCCTCACTATATTAAGCACAACTATGTTTCAATTCTACTTGGCAAAAGATTGTCCCAGAATTTTTAAATCTCGTTACCCTGCCAAGGAACAGAATGAACGTACAAAAGTTTTTTGAAAATTTAAGGACTATACTAGATTTCGAATGCTGAGCCATCTCAGAAGAAACCAGCCTGGATTCCACCTCACCGACGAGCTCTCATGTCCTAGAGACAGCAACTAGTTAGCAGACAGCATGACAAAGCCACAATGGGTGTGCTGTATCAGCCCTGAGTCCAGCTGCCCCAGAATTCCAATCACAAACTGTCCTGCTGCCCCCCACCGCTCTCCCTGGCAGAGGAGCCGCTTCTGAGGTGACCGCGGCCAAGCACAGGCTGAAGCTCTTCACTGCCAGTTAAACAACTCCGCCCTGTGAGTGCATTATCTACTACTTAAGAAGTTCCTGTAGACTCTATTCTGAAAAGACTTTAGGACTAAACCAAGGCAAGAACAGACCGTGCTGGAAACCTGAGCAAACACAAGAGGGCAGGAACCGTGACCAAGCTTTAAATAGAGACCGCATGGCAGGCAGGATGCTTCAGATTCAGTCACGTTGTTAGTGTGTTTAACACTCAGGTCACCCTCTAGTCCAGTCCTGCAAAAGGCTGAAACCACCACCACTAACGAACACATTCAGTGGGTCTGGGGAGGCTGTTTAATTAAGTCTCTGACAAGCTCCAGCACCAACACAGCTGCCAATCTCTTTTCTCTGCTTATGGCGTGTTTTGGTCCCAAAGTATAAATCATCACACCATGCTTCCCCCTCAGGATGTCCACTCCATACCTGCATGAAGACCTTTCCAATGACCACATCATCGTCATCCTTAAACACCGTGCTGAAGACTACTGTGACTCTGTCCTTTTTAGACTCAACATACCTGAGGGGAACAAAACCCATGACAGTAAGTACAGAATCAGAACGGGGTTTTATTAAGAATTTGATCTGCAAGTGAAACAGGAGGGTAAAGTCATAAATCTCCTAATTCATAAAACAAGGCGTGTCAAGTGAGATTAAGTGTTTATGGCCAACAAAGTCTAACAAATGCACTCCCTAAGAGAGGCAGGAGATGAAGATCACTCACAGCAGATGTTATCAATTGTCTATACAGTATGACACGGAACCCAGAGTTAGTGATTCTCAGAACTCCACTTTTAAAAATTTATTTCTTTATATGAGATTTACAGTATGCAGATGATCTAAGACTTGCAATAACACAGAACCTGTGGTCACCGTCTGCCTTATTATTATCAAGGCTATATTACAGAAGGGGATTCAGAATAGTGATGCCTTAAAGGAAAGCACTGGATTCTCTTTTCATCTTTCACCAACTTTCAATATCTGGAGACTAGAAGTGACCCTTCACACCTACCCCAAATCATCTACATCCTGGCTTAAAGAATTTTATGAGAGAGACATGTCAGGGAGAGTCACATAAAAGAGTTTAAGGATTGACTTAGCTGTGTGTCTTTCAGTAAGCGTGTGACAGCCCCACCCAGACTTCAGGACCAAATTCTATACTCACATGGTCTCATCATCTCTATAATGGATAACTGCCCTGTTCTCTCCTTCCTTGCCCTCTTCTTGGAATTGGAAGTACTTCTCGAAGACAGAGGCAAAACAGTTTCGTTTCAACATGCCAGCCTGATGCACAATGGAATCCTTGGAGGCAGGCAGATTTTCAAGGTCGTATAGCAAAGAGACATTGTATCCTGGAGGGGAAAAAAACACCCAGGAGTTACATTAAAAACAACTTTTCAGGTCCTAATGACATTTTACTTTGTCTGTGTTCGTGCTTTTAACCCAGGGAGAATGTCGTCCATTCCCATCCACCTCTAGGGCAAATGAGGTGAAATAAAATCTTAATTCTTGTAAAAATCACTGCAAATATATATAGCTAACTAACAAATGCTATGCAAAATTTTGAATTAATATCAAAGATGATTGATTACAAATAAGGAATGGGAGGCAGTCACATATAATCCGAGAACTTTGATTAGAAATTTAGTGTTCCACCAACAGAAAAAGAACTCAAGAATACAATACCATTCACAATCGCAACAAAAAGAATAAAATACCTTGGGGTAAATTTAACTAAGGAAGTGAAGGACCCATATAATGAAAATTACAAGGCCTTTCTGAGAGAACTGGATGACGACATAAGGAGATGGAAAGACATTCCACATACATGGATTGGAAGAATAAACAGTTAAAATGTCCGTTCTACCTAAAGCAATCTACAGATCAACTCCATCCCAATCAGAATCCCAATGACATTCTTTACAGAATTAGAACAAAGAATCCTAAAATTCGTATGGGGCAACAAAAGACCCCGAATTTCTAAAGCAATCCTGAGAAAAAAGAACAAAACGGGAGGCATCACAATCCCTGACTTCAAAACATACTACAAAGCTACAGTAATCAAAACAGCATGGTACTGGTACAAAAGCAGGTGCACAGATCAATGGAACAGAATTGAAAGCCCAGAAATAAAACCACACATCTATGGACAGCTTATCTTTGACAAAGGAGCTGAGGGCATACAATGGAGAAAAGAAAGTCTTTTCAACAAATGGTGCTGGGAAAACTGGAAAGCCACATGTAAAAGAATGAAAATTGACCATTCTTTTTCACCATTCACCAAAATAAACTCAAAATGGATTTAAGACCTAAAGGTGAGACCTGAAACCATAAGGCTCCTGGACGAAAACGTAGGCAGTACACTCTTTGACATCAGTATTAAAAGGATCTTTTCGGACACCATGCCTTCTCAGAGAAGGGAAACACAATAGAAAGAATAAACAAATGGGACTTCATCAGATTAAAGAGCTTCTTCAAGGCAAATGAAAACAGGATTGAAACAAAAAAACAACCCACTAACTGGGAAAAAATATTTGCAAGTCATATAGCTGACAAAGGCTTAATATCCATAATATATAAAGAACTCTCGCAACTCAACAACAAAACATCAAACAACCCAATCAAAAAATGGGCTGGAGACGTGAACAGACATTTCTCCAAAGAAGATATACTGATGGCCAATAGGCACATGAAAAGATGCTCACCATCGCTGATCATCAGGGAAATGCAAATCAAAACTACACTAAGATATCACCTTACATCCGCTAGAATGACAAAAATATCTAAAACTAATAGCAACAAATGTTGGAGAGGTTGCGGAGAAAAAGGAACACTCATACACTGCTGGTGGGAATGCAAACTGGTGCAGCCACTATGGAAAACAGTATGGAGATTCCTCAAAAAATTAAAAATAGAACTACCATACGATCCAGCCATCCCACTACTGGGTATTTATCCAAAGAGCTTGAAGTCAGCAATCCCAAAAGTCCTATGCACCCCAATGTTTGTTGCAGCACTGTTTACAATAGCCAAGACGTGGAAGCAACCTAAGTGTCCAGCAACAGATGAATGGATAAAGAAGATGTGGTACATATATACAATGGAATACTACTCAGCTGCAAAACAGAACAAAATCATTCCATTTGCAATAACATGGATGGACCTCGAGAGAATTATGTTAAGTGAAATAAGCCAGGGAGAGAAAGATAATCTGTGTATGACTCCACTCATATGAGGAATTTAAAATTATGGACTAAGAACAGTTTAGTGGATACCAGGGGAAAGGTGGGGTGGGGGGTGGGCCCAAAGGGTGAAGTGGTGCACTTACAACATGACTGACAAACATTAATGTACAAGTGAAATTTCACAAGATTGTAACCTATCAATAACTCAATAAAAAAAAAAAAAACGAAATTTAGTGTTCCAGACACAGTTGTGATGCAGGGTTGTATATGCTATCAAGCTATACTCTGAGTTATAGATTTTGCTCTGACAGTTTAACCTGCCAAGTGCTGGCGTGGTCAGCAGCTGGACAGCTTTTTGATAATAAAATAACCCCCCCCCCCTTACATGCCATCACAAACCCTTTGTGGAAAGAGGCAGAGTATGGACAACCTAAAAACATATACACATATATATTTTATTTATATACATAGATTTATGTAATATATATATGAAAGTGAAGTATATGTTAAATATATGTATATATATCTCCCCAGTAGCTTTTACTTGTCTATGCTGTAAAATTTTCAGTGTTTTAAAATATCTTCCTTTATTTGATCTCCACAAGAGTTCTATGAAGCAGGGAGGCCAGATACGGTTATTTTCACTTTAGAGGAGAAAAGAAGTTCAAAGAAGCAAGGAGCCATGGCAATGCAGCATGATAGAGAGGTATAGGCAATTCAATTTAGAGTTGAACAGAACTGGGGCCAAATCCTAGCCTAACCTCTACAATTCCTCCAGCTATAAAAAAGGGGTGCTGGGACGGGGAGACTCTTGGGAGAATTAAAAGGATGTACAGTATTTAAAGTGCCTGAAGCACAGCGGGTCATCAACAAATGGGGCAGAACAGGGACTGAAATCCAAGTCTGCTGACCACTACACTATTCTGCCTCATTACAGCACACTAAGTGCGAATTCCAGCAAAAAAGGCTGGGACACTTGATTATACAACCAAACAATTAATATGTGCCAAAAAGCCTATGGATGATTTTGCAAGAATATCTGTATATCACTAAGGATCATTTCCTATTCTAGGCAACCAATGGGAATAATTTTACCAGAACTGTATGGATTTCATGTTTCCAACTATCTTAAACATTTATGCTTTGTTACTATTTAATTTTTTCCCACGAGCATTTGTGAGGTCTGTGTTTTTCGTCAGAGCTATCCTCATCGAGAGCACGGGCTATCTAAATCTCTGTTCTAGATAGTGCTTAGCACATTTTTGGCACTCCACTATGAAATACTATCAATCATCATTCCCTTTTGGGTACCTGAAAATCAGATAAGCAAACAGACTACAAGATTAGATTAAAAAAAAAAAAAAAGAAAAAAAGTCGGGGTTTGCTAGTTTTAAGAAGCCAAATAAAACAAACTAAATAAAACTACAGCTGAAGTCAGACTTTAAGGAAGGCTTCTGATATGATGAAGAGAACATAGTAAGGATGAAAAACAGTCAAAATCTAGTACGGGTTGCTGCTGAGTTTCCAAACGCGCCCAGACAAACCCACAGAAAACAAGGAAGAGACACTACCTTCACACATTTTTACACTTTGCACTTGCATGAACACCAGGTCTGCAACCTGGCACTGTCTGTGCTTTAGCAGGAAGTGTAAGAGAAGGCCCAGGGACAGAAACATAAGCTCTCCGTGCTATACTCTGCTGTTCTTTAGGATCCAAGCTGTGACAAGCATGCCCACGAGGTCCTACATGAGTTTTCTGTTCTAGTTCTGTTTTTCTCTCTTTCTGAAATTCCCTGATTCGCCCTAAAGCCTACAGGGTTATTTATCTTTTGGCTTTTACTTCTGCAATATATTTATACCATTAATTTGGGGACCAACTCATTTCAGTATTCTTCATGGACTGCAAAGGTCCCATCCACAAACACTCCTAGTGACAAGTTACATTCCAAAAGCACCTTTCTGTATTTGATATTTTGTTTCCAGAGAAGCATACAGAAGGTATGGGAAGGTGTTCTAATGGGAGTGGTGAGGTGGTATCATGTGGTAAAAATGTGAAAAAGAAAAGGCTGGGGGAGGAAACAAGCTAGCAAAAAATAACTGCTATTTAAAGAGACAGACACAGCTTCCTTCTTAGAACCATTTGCTAATCAAGGTACCATAGTAACAGTATTTGAGTTACAAATATGTTCAAATGGTTTTACTACTTGGTTCTCACTATGGGGCCCAGCTAAATGCCTCAGAGTTTGAGATTCCCACTTAATCATAGGGATGAAGATATTGTTAGAAGAATGGATTAAAGAGGCTGAAACTTTCCTTACTCGAAAATGTGAGAATAGTTGTGAATTTCCTTTTCCCTTTCCAAATGTGCCGTGTACAGACAAAGGCATTACGAGGGGCTGGGGGTGGGAATCAATGTTTGCTTATTCTCCTCAGAAGGAATTTTAATCACCATGAGCAAACAAAGGTGATCCTCTGGCTCAAAGATTAAGAGTCACTTGGCCCTATCAAGTAAATGTTAAAAATGATATGCATCAATTCTGTATGCCACACTGTGTACCATTGCCGGACAACGCACAGCTCCCTTAAAAGGTATTTTTATGGAGAGAACTGACGTGGGAACTGAGCTCATGCAGAAATATTTGTAAAATGAATAATATTTAAACAAAATCCTTTGGCTAAAAAGAGCACAGTACAAACAGGAAGGTCTCTGTCCATGTCATTCCACAGTCGCTCACATTACCACATACCTGATTCTGGATTTACCAAGAAACTCCCGTACACCCTCTTTAATAACTAGAAAATACAAAAACAAATATGTTAATTCAGAGGCCAGGATAATTTCGTTTTTTTTAAAGCACTGTATTTGCCAAGCTTCTCTTAAGCCAGCGTTCTTCCTAACTTTCATTTGGTTGATGGCAAACTGGGTATAGCAGGGGAAGCAGATTTACCTGAGTTATAAGCAAGTCGTTCACAGAACAGAAACTAAATCCAAAAGGTTAGTATCTAAGATCTGTTTTTCAATCACGGCTCATCATTTACTCTAGGATTCAGTCACACCCTGTATCTGTTCTCTGTTCTCCAGATCATATGCTGCACATAATCGTCTCTGTTTTCAAGAGCAGAAGAATGCCAAACTCAAGCGAGAGCAGATTGTTAGTTATCAACTAAGTATAGGACAAACCACCAACCCAGGTGACTGGAGAGATAAAACCAGACTTGTTCGGAACTGATTCCAGTTAGCCTGCTTATCTCATACACTTTCAAATTATTTAGCTCATCACCAGCTTTTTCTTTCTTTCTTTTTTTTTTAGTACAATTAGCCCTGAGCTAAGATCTGTGCCCATCTTCCGCCGTTTTATATGTGGGACACCTGCCACAGCATGGCTTGACAAGCGCTGCTTAGGCCCACACCCAGGATCCGAACCGGCGAATCCCGGGCCACCGAAGTGGAATGTGTGAACTTGACCACTGCGCCACGGGGCCGGCACCCCCTCAACCAGCGTTTTTAAGGCAAAAGACAATGGCTAACTGAATCTTAGCCAGTTGTTTATACCAACAGGTTCCAGAAGATTGTACTCTCTAAATATCTTTTTCCAAAAACCAATACTTGTACTGGCTACTTTCCAGCGTTTTAGAGTAAATGATAAAACAAGAGCCTCTTTACACTTTCCTGTTTCTTCTTTGCCAGTGTGACTGCTTCACCTGGTGGGAACTGCTCCCAGGCTGACATGGTTTAAGAAACAATCTTTTTATTTTGGAAGAAACAGTTCTGACTTAAATGTTATATGGGACACACTGAGAAGTAGAAAGGTGGTTATTTGGAGACAGAACAAGGTAAATATTAAAGCCATTAGAACTTAATAATCTTTTCTGTATTTGCTAGTCTTTATATGTTCAAGAGGAAAAACACACACATGGCTTACTACTAACTCTCACTAAAGACTTCTACTTGGGGAGGGGAGGTGTCACCACTATTCCACAAGAAGGTAAAACTGAGGCCAATACTCAACCCCAGTACTTTAACAGGTTTTGTCTCTAGACAGCCAGTCAATTTCTAACGCTATCTCACCACAAACACACTAATGATCCTCTTTGTATTTTCCGGGATGCCAAAAAAAAAAAAGGGTACTTAATCTACGACAAGTTACCAAAGTAAAAGTGAACAAAAGGACAAGCTTTCATCTTAATCCTAAGAGTTATACATGCATTTTTTAAAGAATTCCATTAACCAGAGAAAGGCTCTGGAGCACAGGCAGCAGAGTGGAGCTCCACGCGGGCAGGCAGGCGGGGTCACTGCTGTGGTCTCAGCGCCCATACACCTGCAGACTGCAATAAAGGGATCTGAGTGGATATCAATGTTTTCCTTCTAATCTTACTTTCAATGTACTCCTTAGGTATTAGAAAAAAAATCAGGAGCAAACCATATATTTTGTGTCCCATTTCAAAAAACTATCACACAGTTAGGCTCTCTCCCTATTCTTAAATATTCTTTAATATTCTACATATTTAACCATTTTCCTAGAGCTGGAAGAAATTTTCTTTTTAATTTAAAGATTGGCACCTGAGCTAACAACTGTTGCCAGTCTTCCCCCCCCCCCCCCGCTTTTTCTCCCCCAATCCCTCCAGTACATAGTTGCATATTTTTTCAGTTGTGGGTCTCTCTAGTAGTGGCATGTGGGATGCCGCCTCAGCGTGGCCTGACGAGTGGTGCCATGTCTGTGCCCAGGATCCGAACCGGCGAAACCTTGGGCCACCAAAGCAGAGGGCACGAACTTAAACACTTGGCCATGGGGCCGGCCCCTGAAAGAAATTCTTAATTTGCAAACTGTGGATAATAGAGTGGACCTCTAAGCATGAACCAGTGATCACAGTTGCTTGTATAAATGCCAAGAAAGACAAGTAATGCCACATGTAGTTCCTATTTGGTAACCGTACAGCCACTGTGAGGTATCTTTCACAGAAGAGGAACTCAAGAGAGAAGTTCAAGGTCACAGAGTTTGTTGGTGGCACAGAGAGATCTGACCTTCTGGTGTCCCATATAACACTTCTCCTAAAGAGTGGGGGGCGGGGGGTGGGGGGAAGGTGACATGCACATCCCATTAGAATTTTAACTGGCATGCTATCTCTGAACTCCAATTCTGTACTGTGTGCACTGTTGGTACCGGGAAGAAGGGGAAATCAGATGTGGAAGAAACCACAGCCCCTTAGGTATTAAAAAAAACATTTAATTCGGAGCTTATTAAGTTAATATTCTGAGATTAAGAGGGTCTAGAGACAGATTTATACCATGCTCAACTCCTCTGCTCCCTCCCGGCACAAGCAGCCAACGCTTCCCTGTTTACTTCACTTGCACTTATAACCATGATTCACTTGTCAATCTGCGCCCCCTCTTCCAACGTAACACCAGGAGATGGGGGGAGGCAACCTGTCACTCATCACCATCAGACCCTTCCACTTAAGCAGCAGAGCCTTTCTGCCTTGAAAGGGAACTGTGACAAAGTAACAAGCTTCCTGTGGTTATCACAGGCTGGTCACTGTTTAACCAACCCAGGGAGCCATTTACTGTGCACTCTGCTCCAGAACTATGAATGTTACTTACTCCACCCACTTGAGTGGGTGGGGTCGGTTCTTTGACCCTGGCGGTAGCTACAAGAATAGCAAAATGTTCTGGAGTTCCACGGAAGGAAAGCACAGACTGCAGAGGAGATTTAAGAAATTTAGTTTAACACTTTCTCTCTCTTCCAGGGATTAGTGTTATTATTGCACCTAGATCTTTAAAGAGAGAAGACTGCCTAGGAGAAAGATTACACAATTTTTCAGTTGTCTGTCCAAATGTTTAACAAGTCTTTTCAGGTAGTTATCTTAGAGTTAGTCCACCTGAACACTCACCTGTTTCCTCTTGCTCCTCATCTGGCAAAGAGAAGAGTGAGCCACTGTCTTTTCTATAATAATCCTTCATGTGCTTTATATGACTAGGTCTACCTCCTGAAGCTTTTCTTTTTTGGATAAAATAACCCTGAATAGAAATTTTCTACACGGTTCTTCCTCCCTTGAACTTATGAGGCAAATCAGAGGAGGTTTTGGCTCTTCCCTTGAACTTCTGGGGCAGATCAATGGCACCAGAGTAACTAAGGGAAGTGACTGCCTGTGGCTCTTGGTATTGCTTGGTTAACACCAATTTCAGTTTTTATACCAAAAAATCATTGCAATTTGGATCATATTCTTTTGCAGAAAGGCTTTCCATTGTATAAATTTTAAACTCAAAAGTTACCACTCTTAATCAAAAGCAAATAGAAATGGCTGTGTCTCCATTCACCAGATTAAGGAGAACCTACTTGTTAAAACTAAAAGACATTTGAAAACTGATTCAGGAACTGAGTCATACTTCCTGCTTTGAGACCAACCACAACGTGCACACACTGGTGTAACAGCATTTTCTTTCTTCCATAAATGGCTCTCTCCACAGCAAAGATAGTTCAACAGGAACCAAACCTGCTACTTTAGCTACTGAAAGAAGCCAGCGAATAAGGCATGGCCATCAAGTTTCATAACGCATAGGCATCCTTTCTTATTTCCCCTAAGGTAGTCATAAGGAAGCAGAGACACTTAAAGGGGCCAGCTCTAAAGAACACTAAATTAAAAAATTTAAAGGGCAGATTGGTGTCTACATTTCCAGAATGAGAAATTAAGATTATAAACTTTAAACAGGCCAGAAGTTATACACCTGCTTCACAATATTATAAAAACAGAACAGAATCTATCTCAGTCTTGCAATAGCTATTTCTGTATCAGTCAAGGAAAAGTATTCCTTATTGCAGTTTCTGAGAACTAAAGCTGTTTTTGTTTTCAGTGGTTAGGGAACATCTCTATTTCTCTAGAGTAAAAAGCAAAGAGCCAAAACACCTGGGAAGCATCCTTCTTTACAGCATTATGGGAAATGGAAGCAAGAACCCCTGGTTAGGGGAACAAGCTGGTCCGAGTGGCCTGGCACCATCGGGGTTGACCTAGTGCCACGGATCTTCTATGAGTGGCAAGCTGCCAATAAAAGGTGAAGAGGAAACAAGAGTCCTAAGGAAAATGATGTGGAACTTACCTCATCAGCACCATGTGCCTGAAGTTCCTTGTAGAATTTCAAAGAAATACTGACCATCACTTTTGTTTTGTCTCCATTAGGATTTGAAATATGATAGAGGACTCCATCGAAATCTGTGAGGAAAGCAAGGAAGACTGCTTAACTTGGGGAATAATATCTCAAAGTGCCTGCCTACCTTGTTCAAGGCTGCAAGGAAGCCCCACTTACAAGCAGCCAGATAAATAAGATGGCATTTAGTTTAAATTCCTGTGCAAAGTCAGCAGAAACACTGGGATAGAACCGTCGAGTACTTATCTCTTTGTTCTTTTCTAAAGTTACAAAGCTATTCTTAGTCACTGCTTGGTGCTGAAAGAATTTTTTAAAAAACTTTTATTGTGATGTATGTTAAACATGTATAAAATGTAATGTATAAAGAACCCCTATTCCCATCATGCAGCCTCAACAATTATCAACACATGGCCAATCTTGTTTGGTTTAGACATACCCCCTTCACAACGATTTATTCTGAAACCAGTCCCAGACATCATATCATTACATCCATAAATATTTCAGAATGTATCTCTAGAAGATAAAGACTGTTTTTTAAAAAAAACATAACCATAATAATCATTGTCATGCCTAAAATTTTTAGAAACAATTTCTTTTTTTTTTTTTTAAAGATTTTATTTTTTCCTTTTTCTCCCCAAAGCCCCCCAGTACATAGTTGTATATTCTTCGTTGTGGATCCTTCTAGTTGTGGCATGTGGGACGCTGCCTCAGCGTGGTCTGATGAGCAGTGCCATGTCCGCGCCCAGGATTCGAACTAACGAAACACTGGGCCGCCTGCAGCAGAGCGCGCGAACTTAACCACTCGGCCACGGGGCCAGCCCCTAGAAACAATTTCTTAATAACAAATATCCAGTCAAGCATTCAAATATTCTCTGTTTCAAAACAATTTTTTAATACTGTTATCTTATTTGAATTAAGATTCAAACAAGGCCCACACCGGCTCCGGGGCCAAGTGGTTAAGTTCACGCGCTCTGCTGAGGCGGCCCAGGGGTTCGGATCCTGGGCGCGGACATGGCACTGCTCGTCAAGCCACGTTGAGGCGGCGTCCCATGAGCCACAACTAGGAGGACCTGCAACTAAGATATAGAACTATGTACGGGGGGTGGGGGGTGGGGAGTTGGGGAGATAAAGCAGAAAAAAACAAAAAAACAAGGCCCACACACTGCATTTGGTTCTCCCTTAGGTTTCCTCTACTGTATAGGCCTCTCATCTCTTTGGCTTCCATCTCCCTGCAGTACAGAGGACTCACCATGTGTAGTTCCTGAAACTAGGTGCTGAGTGCCAGCGCTTTAGGGAGATCTGGCATTGCTAGTTAGGAGGGGACAGGGCTGGGGCTGGGCCTCCCGGTCACAGCACTTCAGAGCTGCAAAAAGTCTTCCAAGGTCATCTAGTCAAGCACCCTCCTTTTACAGAGGGCGACTGTATAACTCTTCAAAGTTCACATAGCAAGTGAGTGGTACCAACACCTAATTCTTTACTGGGAAAAGAAGGCAGTGACATCTCTGACTTGCTGAACAGTCTCTAGCATTTTCATGTTTCCCCACTACTCCAGTGCTAGGCAAACTAAGACGATGGCTAAAGATAATAACATAATATTTCCAAATTAAAAAACCTTTAGTTTGTACCACAAAATTAAACCCAAACTTCTAAGATACCAGCAGATAACTTTACATAGTTCACTAAATCCATGGAATCATCATCTAAAATAAAGACCTCAAAAAGACATGACAATCAAGGGATAGCATCCCAAATTTCAAAGTTTATTTTTGGAATAATTTTGTTTTCTATTTTTTATGTTGTGCCTTCTCTTAATAGAGTGAGATAAAGATACTTACCTGCAAATGTTACTTCTACTGCTTCTGGTTTGTTTCTGTAAAACAAAATAAAAGTCCCTTAGTTAAGATACCTGTACTGCTGCTTGCCTTTAAGGGGACTTGCAAAGGCTCCTGAGCTTTCCTCAAGCTCAGACCATTGTATAGAAATCTGAGGGTTACTGCCGATCTGAGTGCACAGTTTGTTTTCTCATGCGCCTGACCCTTTGGACTTACTTAAGGTGGAGATAAAAAAGGAAGCAGGGCACATAGAGCTTTTGTTTTCTAGCTCGAATCTCTGCTCTGGTGGGTGCTCACCTTCAGTTCTCTGAATTCCTTAACACCATGATATACACGTTTGTATATGTGAACGACAATGCCATCTTTTGGTCAATGTGTCCCCTTGAGGAAAGCAGTGATGGACGAAGTACAGTCAGCAGGAAAACCGCTGAACAGAATACAGAATGGTTGTAACTTACTTCAAGTGAAAAGATGATTTCAGGCCATAAAACAAAACAGAAAGCTCTCGTCCATTTCAGACAACCCGTAAGTCTTCCTACACATCCTTCCTCACCCTTTACAGCACGGAAGTACTCAAGGCCCTCCTTCATGGAGCCTCTTTGACGGGTTCTACTCTAGTTCTGTTGTTTTGTTTTTAGATTCCAGTATTGTACTTCCACAGAAAGTGTAGCACAAAATAACACTGTCAAATCACTGACAACAGTCAAGACACCTGTTTTCCAATTGTAGCTCTTTCATCAAGACCATGTTTGCAGACAAATTAACACCCGCACCCCCTTACTTTTCTCAGCTACTCATCTATAAAACGGGAGACCACAAGCGATCCTACACACCTCGTAGAACTGCTAAAAGAAACCTGACAGCAGACACGAAAGAACTTATCCTGGAGGCAATGAGAGCCCAACACTTTCTGTAGGAGTCCCAGCTTAGCCTGGTGCAGGGGCTTCAACTGAGGCATGCTGCTGAGTTGTCACCTGGAAAGCACAACACCCCCCCCCCCCCCCCCCCCCCCCACAACCACTAGTGGTCAGTTAACCCCCAGTGAGGAGCTACTTTACATGCTTCCCCTACTTCTCAAAGCCCAATGGCAGGAAACAAATGAAGACGAGACTGTTTTATCAGCTCGCTACTTATAACTCAAATGAGCTCACTCTGTTTCATGGGCCAGCAGACAAGACAGACCACATTTGCACCTTCATTCTTGTCTACCTTGCTCAAGTCCTCACAATCAAGCACATATCTTTTATACTCTCTCTGCTCCCTCACCTGTAAAAGGAAGCAAGACTGAGCTGCCCTCCAGGGTTGCTGGGAAAATGGAGTATACACCATGGTTTATGACTGTCAAAAGCTGCTGCAGAGGCTAAACAGCACCTTTCAAGGAAACTGGCTTCTATTAAGCATATGGCAGCCCGGCCGAGAAATCAACCCATATAAATCACACACACAGTTCCAGCCTGCTTCTTCAAAGCCATCCATATGTGACTTAGGAAGAGCACTCTGGGGGTCCCTAAGAATGAAAGCATCAAGTGGGTTTATGGAAAAGCAGTGAGTTCAGAATAGGATCTAGTACAGATAAAAATTTAAACTGCTTCTGATTTTTCATTTGAAACTGCAGCCAGGAGACCAAGGCAATAAGTGGTCAACCACCATTCCTCGCCTCTAAAAAACGAGAGCAGCAAAGGAAGAAGTACAAACATTCATCTGCGACCCATTTGAACGCAGTCTGAAGAGGCTGCACAACGGCAGGAAGCACTGAAGCCTATTTTCTTGGGCAAGGCTGGCTGTGCCCAAGAGCCAGGGTGGAGCCTTATAACAGCCCACACTGCATCACTTAGCAGGTAGCTGGTTTTGTTTTAACCTTTAGTCCTTAACTCAGCCAACAAAAGACTGAGTTCCTCACTCTCCCACTTCATCAACACTGAGAAAAATCAACTATAAACAACCAACCTTAGGGTTCCAAACTGTAAACATTTTGACTCTGAAAATTTGAATTTCTCTAGGTGGTACACTTCCCTGAGCACAGATCCCCACTGAGACAAGTCACTAAGATCTATCCTAAGTGGTTCGCTGCCTGACTTGGGAATATTTGTTAAATCACTGCCATTAATATTTTAGTTTACTATTTATGGCTGCACAAAAGGTTGTAAAGGAGAGAGACAGCCTGCTGATGAGAGCATTAGGCCAAAATGAGTCTTCTCGAAAAGTCATCTGGCAGCTAGAGGTCCAAGAACTCTATGTCCCAACAAGGAGACTGTACCGAGCGTGAAATATACCGTAATAGGATAGTGTCTCAATTCCAAGGCCAGGTGTTTGTTATTTACTTTTGTGGTTTAAAATCATGGACCTAGAGGGGAGTAAGACAGGTCTGGGAGAAAGTGTGCCACTTACCAGGCCAAAAAGATCAATGGTTAAGTTATTCTTTATTCTACCACTTGCTAAAGTTTCAGATGCTGGGGGCGAGTTTGGTCACAGAAAAATTAAGTCCCTCAGAGAAGACTGTTCAACTCAAGTTCTGTCACTCACTGGCTATGTAACCATAGGCAATGCTACTCAAATGGTGCTGAGTCTCAGGTTCCCTTTCTAGAAAATCAAGATTAAAAACACCTACCTCGCAAGGTTGTTGTGAAGACTAGTTGAAATATGTGCACGGCAAAGTCCGCCCCCCCCCCAATGTCTCGTGACTAAGTTACAGATATGCTGAGATAATGATCCCCCAGCCCTAGGGCAGCCCAGGGGCAGGATCTCTGACTAGACCATTACCCAACTGTGCCAAGCAAATATGCTCATGCTGTGTGTGTGACTATTACAAACAAGGCCAGTAATCAGCAGCGAAGGTGCCTGCACAATGCTTCACACACGTCTACACCCTCTGCAAACTCCCAAGAGCCCTTGTTTTCTCAGCTGTGAATGGGAACTGCTCTCTGTCACACAGGCCAATTCTGAAACTGAACGAAACCATGTTAAAGCTTATAGCAGAGAGCCTGGTTCATAGAACGTAAGGTGATCAACGAGTTAATTTTTCTTCGAGGTGGAGTCAGAGGAGACCGGACTTTGAAGCTATGGTTGGGAGGTTTTGGGATTGTGGTAACTCCCAGAATCAAGAATTGGTCAGCAGTACAAGGAGAAACAGAACCCTATTAGTGTCAGACTGTTGTAATGTCTGGAATCCTAGAACAAGCCAGCTGGATGAGTCCTCGGGGTTACTGACTAAACAGCTCAAGACATTAAAACACGTTCAATTCATTCAGATGGGTTTCAAGAGCTATCCTTAAAATCCTTTGCAAAAAATTTTGGTCTCTCCTTTTCCTAAGGAAGCTTCTAGAATGTCAGTCAGTAAAGAACTACTGGCAAGGTATTATCCAATACTCTCTTCTCACTAAGGATTTCGGAGTTTTTACTCCTGAAAGCATCCAATTCTATCCGGGCATTTACGTTCCTCTTCTAGTTAATCCCTTCCATGAGCTGAATTAGAGGAACTATTGAATTCTGCTCACTATTTCACTATTAAACGGTTTTGATCGATCTCCCTCAAGTCCTCTAAAAGGCTCCCATCATCCTTTTTGAGCAAAACCTACAAAAATGGACCATATTAGATAAGAGGTGGTCCTACTCTCTGCTAAGCCGTATCTCAAAACATGGAAAACAAACGGGATCTAAAAGCTGATTCAGGGGCTGGCCTGGTGGCGTAATGGTTAAGTTCAGGTGCTCTGCTTCAGTGGCCGTGGGTTCGCATCCCAGGCACAGACCTACACACCACTCATCAAGCCATGCTGTGGCAGTGTCCCACATACAAAAATAGAGGAAGACTGGCACAGATGTTAGCTCAGTGACAATCTTCCTCAAGCAAAAAGAGGAAGATTGGCAACAGATGTTACTTAGCGCAAGGCCAATTTCCCTCACTAAAAAAACCCAAAAACCAAAAAACAGAAGCTGATTCACATAATGTTAGAAAAGTGATAAACTCCTAAAGAAACTAAGTCATTCTATCTGGCTTCATCCATTCCTTCAAGAAAACTTTTATTGAGCTAACTATGTAGACAGCGAGGATGCAGAGAAACAAAGATCACTAAAACGATAGGCCCTGTCCCTAAGGAGTCCCCAGTTTGGTGGAGTGTGGCTCTGGGGCTCCATGCCCAAAGTGGTCCCAAGGAGGCCAGAGGACAGGCAGCAGTAACCATAATGACCTGTAAAAAGACCAACCAGATCATCTTCACAAGCCAGCCACTATATTCCATTTCTTCTAAATGCTTAAACGATGTCCTGATTCCAAATCACTTCAAACCAGTCTCTCTCTCTGAGGACATATGCAGCATATTCAGGACTGAGAACAAGGTATCAGCAAGATTTAATTTATTCCTTTCTCAAATTTCTCCTCCCACAGCCCTCGCCCACCCCAACTGGCACTGCCTGCTTACTGAGCCTCACTCCCCCTCAGAACCACAGTGCCCCACAATATGCACAGCTGTGGCAAGGAGCCAGCATGCACTTAAAATCAACAGCAATTTGCATCTGACAGCATTTCCTCAATTTTGGACTCCAGACCCTAGTGAAGTCGACGGGCCTAGCTTCTGAGGCTGAAAAGGTTCTTGGTGTGTACACAACAACAAAAGAATTAAATTAATTTGCCAGATTACTTCTGCTTTAATTGAAAGTTTAATTGAAAGTCTGGGTAAGAATTCCTAAATGAAAACTCAATGCTGTTGACAAGACCTGCACGTAAGGTTATTCGCAGTGTTGAATATAGCTTTTTAATCAGTCACATTCCCTCAGTTTGTAGACTGTTGGGAAGACGATTTCCCAATAATTATCATTTTGTGAGGATATAAGAATCGTTCCAATAAGCCACTTTCCCAGGAGTGTGGTAGGAAAAAATAAAAAAGCAATTTGTTTCGATTGAATCGTAGGCTTCGTCAGAACTGTCTCCAAATTAAAAGGTTATCATGACCAAATATATTCTTAAACAGTTTAGATGACAGAAGCACTCTACCCAAAGGAAGCCTAGACTTTTAGTAGGATGTCACAGGCAAAAAGATCCAGCAGGATGATCTGAGAGGCATGATTTAAAAAAAGATCAACCTCAAAAGGAAGACTACTGTAACTACATTCTGAAATATATGCCACGGAACTGTTGTTAAGACTATCTCGTGCTTACGTTTTCAGGAGCTGGAACAGCACTGTCCAAGAGAACTTTCCGCCACAATGGAAATGTCTTCCATCTGCGCTCTCCAGCTACAGCAGCTACCAGCCACATGGGGCAAGTGAGCAGTGGAACGGTGGCTAGAGTGACTGAGGAACTTAATTTCATTTCACTTTAATTCTTATGTAGACTTATCCAGCCACATGCAGCTACTGGCTATCATATTGGACTTTGGAGAGTTGGACAATTCATTCTAGAAAGGGCTGCCCTGAACCATAATCTCCCCAACTGGTCTGCTCTGAGAAGTGTAGAGCTGGGGGAGCTGACCTCTGCCAGCAGGTCCCCACACAGGCAAAGGCTTTCAAATCTCCAGGGTCTCTCCTCCAAGCTACTCCGTTACTTTAATGTCTTTCTCTGATCTCTACCCCAACACATCTCATCCCCTCCCTCCTCTCTAATGCTGCCAATAGGCTCTCTCAGGAAGGCCCTCTTTTTCTGTTCCTGCCCGGTGCTGGGCAGTGGTAGAACCCCATAAACGTTGATGATTATCACACTAGATAGCCTTTGCTGGAAGTTCTGGCACAGGCATGAGCCTTGATAAATACTTAACTACTTCACTGCTGCCTCAGCTTACTTACTGGGATGCCTGGAAATTCACACTTGGCTTAGAGGCAGGCTTCTGCTGGGTGTTATATCTGCAATCCCAGGAAAGCCCTATCTCCTAGGCCAGCTATCATGGTCTTGTCAAACATTTTCAAAGTGCTTTTCAGCAGACTATGTTTTGAGGCCACTTAGTCACATCTCAAAGGGAAGATGGGCCAGAACAAAAGCCAAAACTTGCTGCCCTGCCCCAAAACCCAACACTGCCACAACATATGTTTTGTAAGAAGTGTCCTACGAGTTCCAATGTATGCCTTCCAGACTTGAGTGCCTACTTTAATTTCTCTGAAACGGTTAGTTACTCTCTAAGGGTAATTTTCTAAAAGGAAAAGAGCTGAAGTTCTAAATAAGGGGCTACACTTTGAAATCACAAGTTCTTAATACACAAATAGATGTGAAAGCACTCCTACAGGATGAGGCATGCTTCTACCCGAAAATGCACAGGCATTTATCTTGTAGATCAGCTTATAACCACTCGGGTCTCATTCTTTGCTAGCCTGGACTTGAGAATGCACTTAAGATCAGCTGTAAAAATGCAGAAGTTAATTTAACTTCCTCCTATGTGCCACACTGCTCAAAAAAGCACCCGGCAATCACCCAAAATAAGACTCTGAGCTGATTCGCTTGAACATTTGAAATGCAAAGGAACTGGTAAGCCAGGCTGAAGAGAGAAGCAAGTTTGCTTAAAATATAAGCAAGGGCAGCCCCTGGCAGGAAACAGTAGCTACTGCTCACTGTATGCGCTGCTTCAAGGAAAGTCCTACTCTGTTTTACAGATACAATCTGTGGCCTTAAAAAAGAGACAGGAGACACAATATACTCAATTTAAGCAGTGGGTTAGAAGTGTTGTTTTTTTAATGCCTCCAAGCCAGAAGTTCATCATGACCACTTAGAATTTCCCCTCCACCAATCCTCTCCCATTGGTGGATCTCCAGGTACTTACTTTCCTATTCCTTCCTAGTTCCCAGCTCCCCAGAAACAGTTTGCACTTATTTCCTCAACTGTGCAATCAAGAAGTGAAGCCCCATGCTCACAGAGGGGGAAATGAGGCAAAGGAAGAGGCCGCAGGCCACCAAAAATTAGAAGCTAAACCCAATTTCTTGGCTCATGGTTTAAATATATTAAATATCGTATTAGAACAGCTCAGCAGCCTTGGGGGAGCTTTGCCTTCTACTGATTCTTGTGTTTGACAGAGGAGGCTGCCTTGGAAATATGTCCAAACCCTACCTTTAAAAAGACCAATGGTAAAAAAAAAGAAAAAGGTTATCTAAGAACTTTACAGACTTCAGAGGCTTTTAAGTGTGTACCTGGGCCAAGATTGCCACAGAAGAAATCACAGACCAGGGGGCCAGTATAAGAATTTAAAAGATAAACAACCAGATAAAGGCCAGTGGGTGGGGAAAGGAGAATCAGAACCTCCGAAGAGAGATAAGGAAGAGGTGTGGATGGGGGAGACTATTAGCTTCGCTGGAGAAATACGTAACAAGATGGTCAGTGTCCGTAGGGTTCAGGGAAGGGAAACGAGAGAGATCGCGGTTTTCTGGCTGCAAGACTGGGTCTGCTTTCAGTCGTCCCTCCCGTTCCCGGGGACGAGGAGGTGGGGGTGGGGAGCGAGCAGGCTGGTGGTGACCTGGGCCTGCATCTTCCTCCCTCCTCCTGTCCCGGGAATTCCTGAAAACTCCTTCCGCCTCAACCCCAAACGGGCTCCCTTCGGGTTCAGAACAATGCCGGGGAACACAGAGGGAAGGGGACCCCGGCTCGCTCCAGAGGGCAGTAGGCTCCTCCGGCGACAGCTGCGGCCCAAGCTGCCCTCGCGTCCCACAGGTCCCCGGCCCCAATTCAGCACGCGCACTCCTGTCCACTCACTGCTTCCGCATCCCTCCTCCCGGCCTCTCCCCGCGCATCTCTGCCCCTCACCCCACCGCGCCCAGTCGCCTCCCACGTCTACTCCGCCGGGCAGTCCCCGCACGCGGCCAGGTGCCCATCTCTCTCCTCCAGGCCTGGGGGGCTGCAGGACGCTGGGGACGAGCGGGGGTCAACTCTACCTCCCCCGCCACCCACCGGCCCCGGGCGCGCGCTCACCCGGCGGCCGCGTTCTCGAACTTGAGCGCGAGCGTCTCCTCGATGATGCGGTTGTTCACCTCCAGCAGGATCATGGCGGCGGCTGCCCCGGGCAGGGGAAGGAGAAACAAGGGCAGGTGAGGGTGGGTAAGGGAGGGAAGGACGGAGGGAGCGGCCCGCGGCCACTGAGGAGGGGCCTGGGTGGGGTAGGAGGTTAGGGGAGAAGGGGAGAGGGGCCGGGCTGGGGGAAGGGGAGGACGCGCGCGCTGGCCCGCGCACGCCCTGACTGTGGAGACACCCACCACCCGACCGACCTGGCCCCCGAAGCCTGAACCCGCCTGCCGAGCCGCCGCCGCCGCCGCTGCCGCCTCACCGACAAGCCCGGTCCCCGCCCAGCCCCCGGCTCCAGCCGGCCACTTCCGCTCTCACACCCACTTCCGCTCGCCGCCCGGACGCGCGGCCCCGCGGCGCCATTTCCGCTCCGACCCCTCGTGCGCGCGCACGCAGGCACGCCGGGGCATGGAGGCCGCGCTTGCGCATGCGCGGTGTCGTCTCCTCGACTCCACTTTCCCACAGACCTGCTCACTTCCAGCCCCTGCGACTGTGGTTCGCAGGCAGTCGGCTTTCCCCAAGGCCTGGCTGCCAGTCCAGAGCCTCCCTCGCGCTCGTCCCAGAGGTTCAGCTTCACCCTTCCTTCTTGTCATTTCCGAGACTCTGCAAGAAGCTCGCCCTCGTCGTCTCCTAGCTGGCTTCTTTGCGCTCCGCTTGTTGGTTGTGGGTGTGCCCCTTCCTCATCCCACTCCTGTGGCTCTCCAGCGGCACCACCACGCCTTAATTTCTCCAACAGATATTTAGCGGGCTCCAGCTCTGTGCTGAGGACACGGGCGCACATGAAATAGGCGAGGTCCTGCCCTCGTGGAGCGTATAGGCTGGTAGAGGAAACTGACTACAAACTCTCAATTATGTTTATGTAACTGCAAGTTGTTAAGAGGGCAGCGAAGGAAAGGCACGAGAAGTCACCCTGGTGAATAGGCCTCTGGGTTACTGTCATGCCTCCACTTCTGTGCCTTGGGAGCTGCCTCCCGATCCCCGAAGGTGATTTCTCTGCCTTTGAAACCTTTACCTTCCAGTATTTCTGCCAGAGACGTACCTTCTTACTCATCTGCGTGCAGTCTGAACTCAATTGGTACCACATCTGCACCTTCAGCCTGTGTGCTTTGTGTTACACGCCATGGATAAGGTTCAAGACATTGCAGATCCCCCCAATGATGTGCTAACGTTTCAACATTATTGAGCTAAAATAACGCAGATACATAATTTTAAAATATATACATATGGTAATAGGCTTGTAATGAAAAAAGCAGTTCCCTGGCCTTAGAGGCAATATCCTCTACTCTTTTACATATTCATCAGAATAAATGCTACGAATTCTTGGTTTGTTAATTTTAAGGATTGTCTGTTGACTCCTGCCGTGATAGATAAGAACAAGACGCTATCACTTCTGTTCCCCACTTCCGCATAGTGATATAACATGTTTTGGTTAAACCAGTAATCAGTAATAATTTAAATTATTATGTATGTAAATATTGTTTACCAGTGAGCCAAGAAGTGGACCACAACCATACCTTCTTCCTTCTACAGCCCTTCATTTTTCTTAGACTTAATTATTGCCTTTTTTTCCTCTCACTTGTCAATTTTCTATATTTTCCTACAGTTGACTGCCCTCTACCCCACAAGTGCTCTAAGACTGTCAAAAAGACTAGCAATGTTTTCCATTTACCTGACAAATAAAAATGGAAAGCAATAGGATGGAGTATATGAGGAAGCCATTTGGTATAAACCTAATTCGGCCTGACTGTTTTTTCCCAAAGGGCCTGACTGTGGCTATTGAGCACGCATTGTATATCTGCTTAGACATTTCCTATGACCAGAACAAAGGCACTTGAGATAAAGGTGCAACTTCCCTCCCCCTCCCACATTGGCATTTCCTTAGGGATAAGCATCTTTCCTTAGGCTAGGAACTGATTGCTGCACTCACCTTTGACCACCCAGCTCACCTGTGACCACTCAGCTGGAGACAACAGACTGCCACCCTGCTGTGTTCACTGAGACAGAAGACCTACCTGCTATTTCCATCAATCGCTGTGCCGACAGAGCAGTCTTGTGACTATTGTAAAAGGGACATTTCAATCCTATGTGAAACATCCTCTCTGGGGGTATATAACCACCCTGTGCACCCCACTTCTTTGGTGCCCTTTCTTCCTTCAGGAAGAAAGGCCCCGGGCCATGGTCCTCAGATTTCAGCTGAGAATAAACTCACCCAAATTTTCATTTATAGATTGGTTATGGATTATTTTCGTCAACATACCCAAATACGTAAGTTCCACTTTTTCTCTAGAGTCTTTGTCCCAGAGCTGTCCTTCCTCTTGTTTCAATCTAGATTGATTGCTCTCTAGACTTGCTGTACATTTGTCATTCTGGGATTTTCCTTCATGGCTATTCTGGGCTGGTTCTGCCCATTTCCTGGATCCCATGTCTTCCTCTTTCTTGGTTTACTTCTTTGCTTTGCTAAAGCACCTCCTTTAGTAACTTCCTAAGGAAGGGAGATAGGGAATATGTTGTTGGAATCTCTGCATATTTAAAAATATCTAAATTCTATTCTAACACTTGATTTGTGGCTGGGCTGGTTATTGACTTCAAGTTTGAAAATAATTTTCCCTGGGGCTGGCCCCATGGCTGAGTAGTTAAGTTCACAGGCTCAACTTCGGTGGCCCAGGGTTTTGCCAGTTTGGATCCTGGGTGCATACATGGCGCCCCTCATCAAGCCATGCTGAGGCGGCGTCCCACATAGCACAACCAGAGGCACTCACAACTGGAATCTGCAGCTATGTACTGGAGGGCTTTGGGGAGAAGAAGAAAAAAAAGAAGAAGATTAGCAAAAGTTGTTAGCTCAGATGCCAATCTTTTTTTTTTTTTTTTTAAAGATTTTATTTTTTCCTTTTTCTCCCCAAAGCCCCCCGGTACATAGTTGTGTATTCTTCGTTGTGGGTTCTTCTAGTTGTGGCATGTGGGACGCTGCCTCAGCGTGGTCTGACGAGCAGTGCCATGTCCGCGCCCAGGACTCGAACCAACGAAACACTGGTCCGCCTGCAGTGGAGCGCGCGACCTTAACCACTCGGCCACGGGGCCAGCCCATCAGATGCCAATCTTTATAAAAAGAAAATAATTTATTGGACCCACAACTAAAATTTACAACTATCTACTGGGGGGATTTGGGGAGGGAAAAAAAAGCAGGAAAAAAAATTTTTTCCCCTGTAATTTTGAAGGTACTCCATTTTCTTCTACCTTCCAGGGTTGCTCTTTAAAAAGCCTGATTCCTGTTCGTATTCCTGATCCTTCACATGTTACATCTTCTGCATCTCTGGAAGCATTAGGATTTTCTCTTTAGACTGTTGGTTGAAAATTTTATAATGATGTGCTTTGCTTTACCTTTTTTGTACTGAGCACTCATTCAAAATGGAAACTCACGTACTTCAGTTTTGGAGGAAATTTCTTTGATTTTTTTTTTTTTTTGATAACGTCTACGTTTCCTTTCTTCTCTTTCTGGAATGCCTATTATTTAGAAGTTAGACTTCTGATTTGATCCTTTACTTTTCTCCTCTATTTTTCTGTTTCTTTTTTATTTTGAATTGTGACAAAATACATGTAACAAAATTTATCATCTTAACCATTTTTTAAGCGTGCAGTTTGGTCGTGTTAAGTATATTCACGTTCTTGGGCAACCAATCTTCAAGAACTCTATTCATCCTGCAATACTGAAACTCTATACCCATTATCTGTTTGTTTTTGTTGTTCTATTTTTCTGAGATATTTCCTTGCCATTATCTTCAACCATATTAAGTTTCAGTTTTCTTATTTTTAATTCCAGAGACCTTTTTCCCCAACTGCTCCCTTCCCATGTTATTCTATTCTTGTTTTATGGATGGAAATATCTTTTGTCTTTCTGAGGATAGTATATGTTTTACAGACAGGAATATCTTCTCTCTGAGGATATGATAGTGGGTTTGTTTTAGTTTGTCTTCTGCTCTCTGCTTTGATTTGTTTCTTTGGATCCCGTTTTATGCTAATTTGTTTTGGTGTCTCTCTTTTATGTTAATGGCCGTCCTCAGAAGTCTGGCTACCTTAGCAGTCTGTTCCTATTTAGGGATGAGACTCTAACAAGCTAAGTGGAAGCTGAGTGTAGGCAAGATGAGTTGACCACTGGAAAGGGACCAGCAGCATTGGCCTCCTTTGTGGGCTTTCTGGAGATGCAGAATCTCAGTCCCCACTATAAACTACAGATGCAGAATCTGCATTTTAGCAAGATCACCAGGTGATTCAAATGCACATTGTGTCGTGAGAAGCACTGGATTTGCAGCTGCACTATAAGGTGCACCCATGATGTGCTAGATTTCGTTTGGGGCATACAGATGTCAATATTGGGGGGTCTTTTCTCTAGAGAAAAGTCCTCCGGTTGTGTCTGGGGCTTATAAGCATGGCTGTGAGTATTCCCAGAGTGTGTGGGACCAGGGAGGAATGCTGACTTATACTGAATCCCGTTGTCAGCCCTCTGCTTCCCCCACCTTCCACTAGCTGGTAGAGTCGATAGAAAATGACTCTCCAGTGGTGGAGCTCGAGGAAGGGGTGCAAATGGGCTGGGTCGAGTTGGGGACCTAGAACACTGAAGGCTTTTTATACACATTTTCAACCAATCTTCCCATTTTCTTCATCTTGCTTTTGGTTTATTTCAACTCAAGACTAATAGAACAAAGATCTTTGTACCCACCATGCAGCTTTCTTGAATCTTAACATTTTGTAATTAAACTTGCTTCAGAGCTTTTTAAAAAAGTACAGTTGAAACTTCCTGTGAACCTCACCCAATTCCATCCCTTTCTCTCCTTCTTCTCCCTCTTCAGCAAAGGTACCCGTCACCCTGCATTTAGTGTTTATAGGTCCCATGCGTGTTATTACACTTTTACTATATCTGCGTGTATCCATAAACAATGTATAACATATTTTCCATGATTTTCAGCTTTTTGTTAGTAGGATCATCCTGTACATGTGCTTTTGAAACTTGTTTCTTTTAGTCAACATTCTGTTTTTGAGATTGACCCACGCTGTTACATGTAGCTATTTTACCTGTGATGTAGCTCCAATGTATGATTATACATTATGGTTATCAAGATATTTATCCATTCTCCTGTTGAAGGACACTTAAGTTCTTTCCCATATTTTTGCTGTTACAAGTGCTGGTGCTTGTAATAGCCAAGTGTACAGGTGTGAAGGTGTTTTTAGGGTATGTTGCTAGGAATGTAACTGCTGAGATGTGGGCTACAGACATCTTCAACTTTGTTCGATGTTGCCAAATTGCTCTCCAGAGTAGTTGTACCAATTTATACTTCACTAGCAA